TTTTTCTTTTTCTTTTTTTGTTGTTATTATATAATGTAGAATTTTTATTTTATTCTATTGTATATATTACCAGATTGATTTTATTTTGTTTTGTGCTAAAGTTGGTGTCAGTTGACAGTGGTGAGTGGACGGATCACCTGCTTTCAGTGTTCTAGTACGCCGTACTCCGTCTCCGACTTCACTTCCCCCCTCCACATCCCCGCCGCCATGACCGACAATAAGGTCCCCCAGCCGGGGCCAGCCAAATTAAAGCGCAATGCCGGTCCTGATGAGTGGCTTGAGGCTGCAAAGGACTGCAAGTATCTGTCCGAAGCCCACATGAAACAGCTTTGCGAAATGGTAAAGGAATATATGATGGAAGGTGAGTTGCCCTCCCCTCCACTGCCACTGTGAACCTGTCCCTCCCTCTCCTCCACCACCGCTCACATTGACCCTCCCACATTAGAATCCAATATTCAACCCGTCGCTACTCCCGTTACCATCTGCGGTGATATCCACGGCCAGTTCTACGACCTTCTCGAGCTGTTCCGCGTCTCGGGCGGAATGCCAGATGGCACCGAGCTCGATGCCCCTCAAACCTCCTCCTCCGTCATCACCTCCGCCGACATCGAACCCCCATCCTCCATCACCGATCCCAAGGTCCGAAAGAAGCTGCGCACTTCTCAGCACGATGACGAGGAAGGCGAAGACCCCGAACCCTCTCACACTCGCTCCGCCAGCGAGACCTCCTCCGCCCTGAAGCTCAACCGCAACTTTGTTTTCCTTGGTGATTACGTCGATCGCGGATATTTCAGTTTGGAGACTCTGACACTGCTGTTGTGTCTCAAGGCGAAGTGAGTGGTCCCGCCTCAGCTGCATGGCTTCGGTGACAGCAACTCTTACAATTCTCACAGATATCCCGATCGGGTGACATTGGTGCGCGGTAACCACGAATCCCGACAGATCACTCAGGTATACGGTTTCTACGAGGAATGTTTCCAAAAGTACGGGAGTGCATCCGTGTGGAAGGCCTGCTGCCAGGTTTTCGATTTCATGACGCTGGGCGCCATCATCGACGGCAAGGTTCTGTGTGTCCACGGTGGATTGAGTCCCGAGATCCGCACCCTCGATCAGGTGCGTGTGGTGGCTCGTGCCCAGGAGATCCCTCACGAAGGCGCTTTCTGCGATTTGGTTTGGTCAGACCCGGATGATGTTGAGACGTGGGCGGTTAGCCCCCGAGGCGCAGGTGAGTGAAGTGATCGATTTTAAGTTTTTTCCATTGGCGGTACTCCTTTATTTCGAGATACTAATGAGTGATGCTTTGATAGGATGGCTCTTTGGTGATCGTGTGGCCGACGAGTTCTGCCATGTCAACGATCTGTCGTTGATTGCACGAGCTCATCAGCTGGTGAACGAGGGATATAAATATCATTTTACCAACCAGAACGTGGTTACCGTCTGGAGTGCGCCTAACTATTGTTACCGGTGTGGTAACCTGGCATCGGTCTGTGAAATTGGAGACGACCTCAAGCCCAGCTTTAAGCTGTTTAGCGCCGTCAGCGATGACCAACGGCATGTGCCAACGTCGCGGCCGGGCCGCAGCGAGTACTTCTTGTAACATGTTTGCAATTCATTTGCAATTGCAATTGCATGGGCGCAGGCGTTGGGTTGACCTTTGGGAATGATGAGCATACATAATGATCTAGAGACGAAATCATGTCTATACTCTGTCTCTTTGGGGCTATAGGTGTAGGTGTATGCGTAGGCGTATGCGTAGGCGTATGCGTATATAGTAAGATTGCGAGTGTAGCTGTATAAGATGGGTTGTCTATAATGGGAAGTCCTGCCTTCACATCCACCCACCACCTGGGCATTCTCAACCTACATATGGTACCCGGTACTCCACGGTACCCTAATTCAATCCGGAGTATATCTCGGCATTCACAGGACAACCAGCGCAATGGAAAAGAATTCACTGGTTTTGTCTACCGAGTCTTCCCCGGAGTGGCAACCGCCCGGAACGAATCCCGCAATATCCGGAACGCATCCCGGAGCACCGCCATAAAAGTATTGACCCCCGCGGGGAAACTGGAAGAATCCGACGCACAGACAACTTGATATCGAAAACCATGCAGCCTCAAGAAAAGGTTGACGTGCTTATCTGTGGTAGTGGATCGGCTGGTCTTTGCGCGGCCACTTGGCTTGCCCGCTACGGTGTGCGCTGTAAGGTGCTGGAGCGTCGCGATGGCCCCATGGTGATGGGCCAGGCAGACGGAGTGCAGTGCCGCACAGTCGAGATCTTTGAGAGTTTTGGAATCGGCGAGGAGCTTCTTCGTGAGGCGTTTCATGTTCTTGAGGTCAACTTTTGGGCCGACGATGGCAATGGAACTATCAAGCGAACTGGACGTACCGCTGATACTCAACCGGGTCTATCGCACCAGCCCCATGTCATTCTCAACCAGGCTCGCATTAATGGACTCTTGATTGAGTTGATGGATAAGTATAATGGTCAGAAGATTGACTATGGATACAATGTCACCTCCGTCCAGGTCGATAGTGCCTCTGCAGCAGATCCCGAATCCTATCCGGTGACTGTCACTGCTGACAAAAATGGGGTGACCGAGACTTTCGTGGCGAAGTATGTATTGGTGAGTATGATATTTTCTGTTCTTTCCTTTCAAATATTGCACCGGAATCTCTAACTTAATACATAGGCCTGCGATGGTGCCCATAGTACTGTCCGCAAAGCTCTGGGTTACAAAATGATTGGAGATAGCAGCGATGCCATCTGGGGTGTGATGGATATGATTCCGCAAACCAACTTCCCAGACTTCCGGAAAAAGTCAACCATTCGATCCAAAGCCGGAAATATTATGATAATTCCCCGAGAGGGTGACAACAATAACCTCACTCGATTCTATATCGAACTAGCCCCCGGAACAAATCCGAAGGATGTCACACTGGAGAACCTACAACGCAAGGCCCAGAGTGTCTTCCAGCCTTACCAAGTGGAGTTCACAGAGACAGTTTGGTGGTCGGCCTATGCTATTGGCCAGCGCCATGCTGACCTTTTCCATAAAGACCACCGCGTCTTTCTGGCGGGTGATGCGTGCCACACCCACTCGCCCAAGGCCGGCCAGGGCATGAATGTCAGCCTGCAGGACGGGTACAACATTGGCTGGAAGCTCGGCGAGGTCTTGACAGGTCTTGCTGATCCATCGCTATTGGAGACATACGTCCTGGAGCGGCAGAAGGTCGCTCTTGATCTAATAAATTTCGATCGATACTTCTCCAAACTCTTTTCTTCCGGCGCCAAAACCACACCGGCCGAGTTCCAAAAAGGGTTTATTGAGTCTGGTAAATATACCGCTGGAATAACTACCAAATATGATGTTTCTTCCATCACATCCTCCCTCACATCGTCAGAGCTTGCCTCGAATGTTGTCGTCGGAATGCGGTTGCCCAGCGCACAAGTCGTGCGATTCTGCGACTCCAAGCCTCTACAACTGATGAAATCGCTCAAATCCGACGGCAGATGGCGTATCATGGCTTTTATCGGTGATATTTCTATCCCAGAGAACCGTACAAGATTGAACACGGTATGATTGTCGATACAAGAAGAGTTTTATTCCTTCAGCTAATGTGTTGCACAGCTCGGGGGATATCTTTCTTCTCCAGATGGCCCTATTCGCACTTTTACACCAAGCTCGCATGATACCGATAGCCTTATTGAGAACATCGTCATCGGCCACGGTAAACGATACGATGTCGAGCTCGAGCAAATCCCAGAGTGTTTCTACCCAATGACCGGCAAGAACCACACGCGGGGTAAGCTACTCTACTCCAACAGCACAAGCGAAAACTTTGAACATAAACTAAACCGAAAATTTTAGATTTGCACAAGATCTACTACGATGACGAGAGCCACAACCAAGGGCACGGCCATGCATATGACGTTCTCGGCATCGACCCGAAACGGGGGGCTCTAATAATTGTCCGCCCCGATCAATGTGAGTGGCATCTTCTGAAAAGCACAATGCAATGCAGAATAACTAAACGTGATTCCAGATGTGTCTGCCGTGATGGATTTGAGCGACTATACCGAAATTGGCAATTTCTTCAAGGGATTCCTCCGGTGTCAAACGTAGGTTGCTAGCCCCTGGCTACGACGAGAATGTATGAATAACATCGAAGTATAGAGAGAAAGAGAGTGCTTCACAGACATCCCAGGGGTCCCCTCTGGTTGAGAGCAGGCTATAAGAGGGAGGGAGGTGATTATGGAGTCTTGGAGATATGTGACCATGTGCATACTAGTAGAATCTACAGCTGTGGCGTGATGGCGGGGATCATTGTAACAATTCAACTGACAAGGATATATGCATTATTGCGATTTGTTTTAAAACTCTAAGACATTTTTCAATTATGGGTTTGAGGCCATATACTACTCTATACAGGTGATTACCTGTACTAACTAGTATATACCTAGGTAACTAGTAGCTCGGATTATCAATTAATGATGCCGTTCAGGTGAAAATCGCCACAGACATGCAACCAGTTGTGAACGAAGCCACGATTCTATTCCGTTTGATTCAGAAAAAAAAAATAAGAAAATAATAAAAATAATAATAATGATAATAATGCAATTTTATCTCCCCGTAAAGTCCGCTTAATCATCACTCTTCCATTGAATAATCACGCCAGTCCTGCGATTGGAAGCCGACGGATTTGCAAGCTGACAAACTTGGAGCGGGCCCATTCCGCGCATTAGAAACATTGCGCGATTCCAACCAAAATCATTGCAGATGAGGTGATACAAAAAAAGATTATGGTTGATGGTGTGCGCAATATTAGGAATCGGGCTGTGTTGGAAATCAGTGTACATAAGTCTTGATAAAGCCCAGCCATGAGGGGGTTTCACTGAATAGTTCACCACTCTCTCTCACCACCAAGTTTCAACACTAACTGCTCACCTTTTATCTACTATACAACTTCTCTGCTCACTTTCCAAATATTACACACTCATGGCTATCTCTAAAGTCGCAATTGCCGGGGTAAGTTAATTCTAGAGCATTCTTTTCCACTCAACTCTGGAAGTAGCTGACCGAAATAGGCCACTGGCAACGTCGGTCCAGCCATTCTCAACGCCCTATTGACTGCTGGCTTTGAAGTCACCGTTCTCAGCCGATCTTCGTCACACAAACTGGATCCTCGTGTCAAACTCCAGGAAGTTGACTACAGCTCCCAAGACTCCCTCACCACAGCCCTGGCAGGCCAAGATGCGGTAGTCAACGCCCTCTCTGTCGGGCTAGTCGCTCGTGATATCCACCTTCGTCTCGTGGAAGCTGCCCACGCCGCCAAGGTCAAGAGATACATCCCATCGGAGTTTGGCAGCGATACCGTACACCACTTGACTGCCCAAATACCCGTCTTCGGCGACAAGGTTGCCATCCTTGAAAGACTGAAGGAGATCTCGGCCCAGGATCAAGAATTCAGCTACACCGCGGTTATCAACGGCCCTTTCTTCGACTGGGGTCTCGAGAAGAAGTTTTTCCTCGACGTTTCTGGCCCAACGACAACCATCTACGATGGCGGCGACGTCCAAGTGAGCAGCACGACTCTCTCGGGAGTCGGCCGTGCTGTCGCCGGTGTTCTGCAAAATTTCGATGAAACCAAGAATCGCCCTGTATACGTCGCAGAAACAGTTTTCACACAGAATAAGCTGTTGGAGTGGTCAGGCAAGGCCGATCAGATCGAGAAGATCCATGTCGCTACCGACCAGTTGGAGCAGAAGGCCTTTGAAGCTATCAAGCAGCCCACGCCTGATGGGGCCACCTTCGCCCGCAACCTCATTCTTCGAGCTATCTTTGGAGGTAAATACGGAGCTCATTTCTCCAAGACTGATAATGAGCTTCTTGGGGTTAAAGAACTGTCGGAGGCGGAGGTTAAGAATTTGCTTAAGCAGTACGCTTAGTTTAAGAATAATAATGAATATTACCTAGGTACCTTAAGGTACCTTTTTTCATTTTCTATTAAAAGAGCCCTAGAGTGATTTAGGCAGATGTTCTCTACATGTACCTCTTTTGAGTCGTATCAGCTACGTCTACAAAGTATACCTAATGGGACAGGGAGTTACTAACAGTAGTGTGAAATCAAGGTCATGTTTATAAGAACTCGAATATAAGGACCTGTGAATTCAACGTCAAAAATGGCTGCTTTTGGCGCCAGAAACAGTCGCCTTTCCATCCATAATTTTGGACAGTAAGCAGCCGCTTGATTGCCCCCTCCCAGCAGCACCTATCTATTTTACACTCACCTAACACTCACCTAACACTCTTAGTCACCTTCTAGCAAAGAAGTTAGTACTTATTTCAACCTTACTTCTTCCCTATAATTCTACCTACTACCAAATAATACTATAAATAGCTCCTTTTTACAGCCCTATCTAAGTATGCGACAAAACATCGGAAAGCGGAGACGACAAGCACAAAGTAGAGATTATCATCCCTTTTTTCGGCATTAAATAGAAGTGATATTAGCAATCTACAAGTTGGATACCCTCAAGATATAGGAATGTTCACAGCCATACGAGGGCCCCAGCCTCCCGCATTAATGGCATCCTAAGGCAAGATTGCCGTTTGTCTTGTCGCACGGTATTTAAAAGGTGCTCTCTTGATGATGATGCAAGATCCCGGGGAGCACAGAGTGGGCGGCGGAAATTCAGATGAGCAGTCATGTCAAGCAGTTGGTAAAGGAAAAGAGAAGATAGAAACTTTCGCTGCTCTTTGGAATTCATACTGTCTAGGTCTATGGTTTGTTGATTTACTTAAAGACTACTCAGGACAGTGCGTGTGCAACTTGAAGTATGCATCTTGAAGTAACTACTGCCTAGTAGTATGTAAGTGCGATCCAGTGCTGTTAGTACCAACCTTGGAAAGAAGAGCATGTACTCTATAGCACCATGCAAATTTGCATGACAACGAAAATGATGTTGAAGCAGTTCATTGAAGAGTATCTAGGTAGTATGTCTGTGAGGCAGACTTAAGATGAACCGAATCTATGATATCCGGGCCTGCCAATGCATGACATAGTCTGCATCCAGTATAAACATTTTCAACACATGCTGCTATAAAGATTCTTGAAATCATGGCAGGTGAGAGGCGAAACCTAAAACCGGTAAGATCGCCCTGGGGACAGGAGGAGTGTGTGCTCGATGCATTTGGCATTCGAATGGATCTCTGGCCATTCATGCACCACTCGAAGAGCCGTCCGGAATTTCGGGATAGTGGAGGCGTGACAACTTGCCACTTCATGACTCCTGAGCCTGGAGGTGGGCATCGACTTGGGCCTGGGCTTCGGCGGGGATAAGATGGGTAGGCCTAGGGTTGGCGTTCTTGCGGAACCACCGTTCATCATCGGGGTTAAATCCACCCTTGCCGAAATACGCCCACTCCTCAGTCTCCATCATGTAGTCCTCTGGGGCGAAGGGGGTACCGTCGGCCTTCTCTCGCTCCAGCAGCTCGAAGAAGCGCTGATAGTCAATGCGGGTGTGCCATTTGCCGTTCACCTTGAATCTGTCCGATGCGATCAGGATACAGCAACTGTGGGCGTGCTCAGCAGCAATGCCATAGTTCAGACCCCGACGCTCCAGCTCTGCATTAAGCGCAACACAGAACGCGGCAACCTCTTCGTAGAAAGGCACGTTCTTCATTGTCAGACCGGCTCCGGCGCTGGTGCTGGTTCCGCAGAATGTGACACCCTTGATCTCGATCAACCCTGGCAAAGCCTTCTCAACCAGGTTCGCGTATCCCTGCACCTCGTCATCGACATTGAATCCATTGACAAGGGTGAGTCGGAAAACAGTGCGCTGGTAGCTTCGCTTTTCGCGGAGGATATCCATACAGCGTTGGAATCGCTCCCAGAAGTCGCGGTGCAAAGGGCGATCGATCTTGCGCAGACTCTCACGGTTGCTGGCGTCGATCGAGACGTAGAGCTGGGTGACACGGTACAGTGCCTCCAGCTGGTCGGGGTGCTGGGCATTGCAGACAAGGAAACTAGAGATGCGCTCATTGTGCAGCATTTCAAGGAAGCGGTTGATGTGAGGATAGAAGATGGGTTCACCGACAAGACTCAGGGCGCAGTGTCGGATGCGCATCGCCTCGGCAAATCGCTCCGCACGAACACCGGGAACACCGCGCAGCATCTTAATCTTCTTATAATGGCCCTCCTTCACGCCGTTGAAGATCAGTTCGGGTTCGTCCACCTTCCAGCGCCATGTGGTTCCGACAGGGTTTGTGCCGTGACGCCAGCAGAAAATGCATTTGTTACTGCAAGAGAGCGAGGGTGTGGCTTCCATGCACAGGTGAGACTTGATACCGTAGAACGAGTATTTGTAACATGAACCACGGCCACGCAGAGCAGACTTGGTCCAGCGACAGATCTTCACACCAGAGTGCGAGCCAACAATAGAGTATCCTTGTTTGGTCAGAGCAGTGTAAGTCGGAGAGGTCTTGGGGACCATCTCTTTAGCGGTGTCGGTGCTGGTGACGGCTTTTCCAACAGTGGTAAAGTCAACAGGGAGTGGCGCGGCAGATTCACCATCCATCTTGATATCTTCAAGATCGACCATGGTTGAAGACTTCTTCTTTCCGCCTTGAGACTCGTCCTCGTCCTCGACGTCTTCTTCGTCACTCTCCATCGCATCACCGCTGCCACGAACACCCTCGCCAAGTCCCCCGTACTCCAGAATGTCTCCAAAAATGTCCAGCAGACCTTCGGTCCAGTCCTTCAAGGCGTTTTCGGCATCGCTCTTAACATCGCCCATACCCAATGGATACACACGCTTGCGACCAGTCAGTTTGGCCATCCAACGATCGATCTCCTTGGCTTGCGAGCAGAATCCCTGTTCTTCGGTCGGCCATTCTTCCTTGTCACCGAAACCAAAGACCGAGTAGCCCGCCAAGTTCGCAAGGGGCGCCGTATCGATTCGGAAGTCATTGTGAGTTTCATCCAGGTGGCCCAAGAAGGTGTTGAGTACGGTGTCGATGTTATAGGTGGGGATCAGAATGCAGTACACGTAGCGGGTATTGGGCGAGGGCGACTCCGGAACCGTAGTGAAGAAATCGTCAAAGTCGATGTAGGAGATGTCATGGAGTTGCGGGGGAAGAATGCCTCGCTCGCGGTTCTCCTCGCCTGCCTGCTTTTCAGCGGCAGTGCGCAGATTTTCCAGAAGGAGATTGGCATATCGCTCGGTGGTGGTGGTCAAGGAGGCGAAGAAGACGATAGGCTGGATGAAAGACACCGGAGGGCCATTGTCGTTAGTTTCGTTGGATGGACGGCGGCCACCGATGGTCTTTGCTGGCTTCTTCTTCCCTTGCACACGCTTAGGTCCCGCAGCAGGTTTGGCAGACTTTGGAGCGGGCTTGACAATTTCCTTTGTGATTGGGGTGGGAGGGGCAATCGGGTTTTCTGCGGGCGCGGGCGCGGGCGCGGGCGCATCGAGTTTCTGAGATTTCTCGGGCGATTGGCCACGGGGCGACACGGGGACGGAGGATGAGGCAGCGGTCTTGGATCGCGACTGGGATTGACTGTAGACACGAAGGGTGACAAAGAAGACAAAGAGGGCGACAAGAATGGGCAGACGATAGGCATGCCAGACAGCCAAGAGGCCTGCAAAATGTTAGCGGGCGGTCGCATGTGGGGGGAGATGGGGGAGATGGGGGAGAATGGAGAATGGGGAATGGAGAATGGGCGAATTAAACTTACTGTCAGTCATTGGCGTGCCCGTCATGGTATATTTGTTCAAAGAAGTTGACTTGAACAAAAGTCGAGAGGGTCAAAAAGAGGGTGCGGAGGAGATGGAAAAAGAGTGTGAGGAACAAGTTGAAAGTGGGGGCTGGGCGGAGCGGAGCGGAGCAATGAGCATCTCGTGATTACTGACAGTATACTGTAGAGTATATATATACTATACAGTATATATAGTATAATATAGTAAAGTATAGTATTGTGTATACATAGTAGTATAGAGTTCCCAATTGGCTGGGTAACTAGTATGATATCTAGTGACTATTAACTAGTTCGTTACTACTTGTACTATCTATCCCTAGGTACTTACAATTAATACTATATATATAATACTAGTATGATCATATTTGAGTACTACAACAGTAGTATACTGGTACATACCTAGGTTTACTAGTTAATCAATGATGCTGGATGCTGGTAGTAGTAGTATATATCCACGTGACCTGTGTTTTGGTAGTTCTGACTCGTCACTTCGGAGAGTAGTATTCAGTCGGAGGGGTATGACTTCAAGTTTCCATTGCATATTCCACCTGCCAGTGGGCATCAACTTGAAAGTTGAAACTATCCCTCATCTTACAATTTTTGCTCCTAGGTATTTAGTTATCTCCGGCCATCCGCTGTTACCTTACTTGAAAAGTGGACCCGCCTCCACATCCCTCTTCTTCAACTCACGCCATGGCAATTGACGAGAAAGACGAGATGCAAGCAAAACCAACCCCAACCAACCCCGAGGAGTCCGGTCCCCGGCCTGTCATCCAACACAAATCTTCCAGTCGCACATGGCTGTTGTTTCTCTTCGCCCTAGTCGGAGCAGGATGGCTGCTTTGGCCCCGCTGTCCGCACTGGATGCTCCGCAAGCCCGCCACCCTGCAAGATCGCGTGTATAACATCCTAACAAACACCCCGCTGATTGGTGAGTCTCACCTCCTCGACAGCTTGGATTTCGACTAACCTCCCTTCGTAGATGGTCATGATGACTTCCCCATCTTGATCCGCCAAGAGTATCACAACCACATCTATGGCTCCAATTTCACCGAGTCTTTTATCCACGGGAATCTTTCCGGTCATGTCGATCTGCCTCGCCTAAAGCGCGGCTATGTTGGAGGCACTTTCTGGAGTGTCTTTGTTCCATGCCCCGCAGATGGCATGGACTTTTCGGATGAGAATTATGCACCGAGTACGGAAGCACAAGCACAAACAAACACAAAGCCATGCTAACTCTCATTCCACGCAGGTGTCCGGGAAACCGTCGAACAGGTTGATCTCATGTCGCGTGTGCAAAAGGCCTATCCCGAGATCTTCTCGAGGCCGCCCAACGGCACCACCGCTTTGCAGGCGTTCCGGGAGGGTAAGATCATCTCTCCGCTAGGCATTGAGGGTCTACAATCCATTGGCAACTCCCTTGCCCATCTCCGCATGTTCTATGATATGGGTGTCTCCTACGCAACATTGACCCACAACTGCCACAATAAGTATGCCGACGCGGCTCTCGTCGAGCTGCCGGGCGGCGGCATCAAAAAGGCGGACCCGATTTGGCATGGTGTGAGCCCGGCTGGGCAAGACCTCATCTATGAGATGAACCGTCTAGGAATGATCATTGACCTGGCTCATGTTAGCGTGCAGACCATGCGCGATGTTCTGGGTGCTGGCAAGAGCGAATGGCCTGGCAGTCGAGCTCCAGTCATCTTCAGCCACAGCTCGGCACACGCTCTGTGCCCGCATCCGCGTAATGTACCAGACGATGTGCTGGCGTTGGTTCAGAAGACCAAGTCTATCGTCATGGTTAATTTTGCTCCGGACTTTATCTCTTGCACCGCTTCAGACAACGAAAATGGTCTGCCCGATACGGATATGGAACACGCGACCTTGGAGCGGGTGGCAGATCACATCATGCACATTGGATCTGTCGTTGGATTTGACTACGTCGGGCTGGGAAGTGATTTCGATGGTATTCCTACTACGCCACGGGGCTTGGAGGACGTATCCAAGTTCCCGGACCTGATTGCCGAGCTGCTGCGCCGTGGTGTTAGCGATGAGGACGCAGGTAAGGTGGCTGGGGGCAACCTTTTGCGCGTATGGCGGCAGGTTGACCAAGTTGCCCTCGAGATGCAAGCCCGCGGAGATCACCCGGCTGAAGATTAACTTGATAGTATATTGAAAGCATTTACAATGTGAAATTATTTCAGCTCAGCACTGAGCTTATCATGAAAGTCGCTGAATTGCCCATCGAACCGTCCATTTAGTATATACATAAGAAAGATTACTTCGTGGACCCAGCTTGCTGCTTTCGAAACCAAGCAAAAGCCCGTACAAGATTCGGTCCATGATTCCAATTTTCAGCGAATGGCAGTTGAAATTTGCCCGTATTGGACTGCATCACTTCTCGTACCTCCTCTTCCAGTGCCCAGTCAAAGGCCTGGTGTTCGGTTGGTTCCAACCGAACAGGGATTTCCTCATACGGCCCTTTGGCCTCGTAGACATCGATGATGAAGGAGTACTTGGCGATACGCAGCGTGTCGCCATTCCGGCGCAGGTGTTGCCAGCTGTCGACGCCCACGAGATCGACAAAGCGTGACACATTGAGTCCTGTCTCTTCAAGGACCTCGCGGGCTACACCGTCCAGCAGAGTTTGGTCAATATCGGGCTCGACGGCACCACCAGGGCCTTCCCAACAGCCACTCATGGTGTCAGTCATGGCTCGCTGGATCAACAGAATGCGCGGGCTAGTATTGGCATTGGCATTGTCATTGTCATTGGCATTGACATTGGCATTGGTGGATGGTTGCTGGGAGAAGATGTACCCGCCGACGGCGAAACTCTCGAATTCGGGGCGGCTGGCGCTAAACTCGGCCAGGGGGATATTGAAGTATTCCAGATGGGGAGCAACAGTGTATGGAGGCGCCATTGTTGAGGGTGGTGTTTGTTATGTGTATGTGAAGTGGGCGTGGAGGATAGAAGTACCTGTACTAGTTAGTTAGTAGGTAAACAAGTTGCGCAGGTGAACCAAATGAGTCAGGTGGAATACGAGGCTGATGAGGCTCCAGCATTTAGTATTTCACCCACACTTACTAGGTTACACCTTGGCTGTGAATAGTAGGCTGAACTTTATTCAGCTGTTTTTGATTTAGGAAAAAAGCCAACAGCCTGATATCCTATAGTTCGTTAGTAGCTAGTCAGTACAAAGTCACTATACTAGTACGATAACTATGCCTGGGTATATGCATGACAGAGCATCAAAGTTCAAGTTCTCTAGGAGATGGCCTTACTGCAGATACTTCAATTTGAATAGGATTGTTCGATATTGTCACTGTTTCCGCGGTCAAATATTAACAAATTATCCATTTTCAATCATGTTCTACTATTTTTCTCCATACAAAACTGGTCTACTTCTCTACTCCCCGCTGGAACTGACTTGACGTGACTCACCGCCTTGGGACAAGCAAGAACCACGGCGACAGCGATACATCATTTCCCCTCCAACAGGTTGCCCTTGAAGTTGCGGTGCACATCCATCAGAGCACTCTTCTCGGATCTTATACCAACTGTACTTTTCTACCACTCTCTCAAGCATGACACAGTCCGGCAAGGCCACGGCCGGCGTGCTGCAGATCCCAGCAACAGCCACACAGAAATCCACATCCACGAAGAAGACTCCCAAACCCCCTGCCCCGCGGCTTAAGCTACTTATTCGTCGCCTGCCGCCAGGTCTGACACAGGTCGAGCTTGAAACATCTCTAGGCGATGAATGGAAGACGGGTGCGGGAAGGGTTGACTGGCTTCAATACAAGCCCGGCAAGGTTTCGAAGGAGTAAGTCACTATGACTATGACTATCACGATGCATACAACAAGAGCTAATCAATGCAACTCTCTACCTATAGCCCCGCCAAACCATCTCGTCCCTCCAGAGCATACATCCACCTCACCTCTAACGAACATGTCACCCCACTCTCGGATCGGGTACGACAAACCTCATTCCAAGATGCCCGCCACACATCCAACGACCCAGTCCTCTTAGGCCCGCCATCCCTCGAATTTGCACCGTACGCAAAAACACCCAGTAGCCGAGTCCGTAAGGACGCCCGACAGGGCACCATCGACCAAGACCCAGATTTCATCGCCTTCCTCGAAAGCCTCACCCAACCGATCGCCAAACCCGCCCCGGTGGACTCGATCGAGAACGAGGAGAAGAAAGAAGCAATCCTAACAACCCCTCTGGTCCAATATATCAAGGACAAGAAGGCTAGCAAGGCCAAGGAAAGTGCCAGCTCGAAGTCTAAGCACGGCCGCGGAGAGAAAGAGTCCAAGCAAGAAAAGGTTCAAGCAAAGAAGCTTCTTCAGCGACCCGACAAGGAAGCCGCCGCGACTACAACATCTGAGAAGAAGGGCAAGGGCGACAAAGCGAGCAAGGAATCCAGCAAAGCAGCGAAGCAGGCTACAACTACGACGAAATCTGGTAAAGCAAGTGCTGCCAGCACACCAAAGGAATCTACAAATACCACGGGACCCGAACGAAAGCGAGAACGAGGCAATGTCGCCGCCGCAGCCAAGATCTTACAACGTGACCTTGGACTCTCGTCTGCTTCTGCTTCTGCTTCTGCTTCTGCCTCTGGGGGCCGACGGCGCGGAAAGGGTGGATCGACCGAGGCTGGCACACTGAAGAACGAGAGCTCGCGCGACTCATCCGTGCCTGGACCTGGACCTGCTGCGGAGGGAAGCAAGAAGGAGACAAACAAATCAGGCAAAAACTCAGCCAAGGCCAAGGATGCTGCAAAGGATGTCGCAAAGAACAAGGACACGGAAACTTCGTCTCGAGTCTCAGAAGCCCAAACTCCTCCCCCAACCGCGAATACCAACACCAGTACCAACAATGCGCCTGCGAAACAAGCCAAAGGCGCCAAAGGAAAACCCACCGTCAATCCCGCACCGACCGCAACACAGGCCTTCCTCAAACACGCCAATCCTTCGCAGGGCGTGACGGAGCCACTGCTGGAGGAGGCATTCGGTGTATTTGGATCGGTGACGAGGGTAGAGATTGATAAGAAGAAGGGGTTCGGGTACGTGGATTTTGCAGAGCCCGAGGGACTACAGAAGGCAATGGCTGCTAGTCCGGTGACGGTGGGACAGAGTCAGGTGGTTGTTCTCGAGCGCAAAGCGAACCCGGGAGGAGGAGAGAAAACACGAAAGGGTCGAGGAGATGGTGCGAATAAGAAAGATACCAGTGGTGCAAAGGATGCCGGTGGGAAGGATGGAGGAGGAGCAAGTGGTGGTGGTGGTAGTGGTGGTAGTGGTGGAAATACAGGCTCGTCGCGAGGATCGCGCGGTGGACGGGGTAATCGCAACAAAGCAAAGGGAGAAGCCAAAGGAGAAGGGAAACCAGCAGAGAAGAGCGCGAAGCCGAGTGAATAGTACTACATGAGCTAGATGATTCATGACATGAAATGATACCCAAGCATATTAGTACCTACTAGTAGATATAACTTGAAGGCGCCCGCGCCCAGATAGGCATGAAAACCCTGGAGTATTCCGAGTCTGCACTACTACCACTCGCACCAAGTACTGGCAGAGTTTGATCGTCTACTACAATTACTACATTTGGGGAAGTGGATAAAAATTCTCAGGATAAACTTTGATATAAGTTGATTCGTGCTTGTACATTACTAGCACTACTAGGATATGATATCTCTCACAGCTCCGAAAGAAATCTCCCACATCAAAGAGAAATCGATCAAAACCTTTCAGACCTCCTCGACACCCACCAGGACCAGCCGACCGAAGTCAGACACCGAGACCAGGTCAAGATCATCACCACTCCCTGGACATTAACACAGAACCGTGAGGAACGCGTAGCAGTCGAGGCGGGAGTAAAAAGGTTTCACTTTAGGGCATCGAGGACATGTAGTCATCAGCAAGGGTGGAGATTCTGTGGCTCTTATAAAGAGCTTAGAAGAGGACGTCTACTCTAAAGTGATTCTTTGAACTGTTGAGGCTGTTAGTAGATGATCTTCCAAGTACTCCAGGGCTGCTGAGAGCAGTATAGGGAGGGGGTACTAACGTAGAGTCGCTTAAAAAACAGAAGAAGGTTCGGAGGGCGGCGGCTTCTTATACTCGGGAGCAGTGGGCGGTGAGTCTCTGTGGACCGTGTGGATGTAAGCGAGACCGGCAATTATTTGCATTATTTGCATCGCAGAGTTCCAAGGTTCGGAACTCGGCTTGCCGACCTCGGGATGTTCCCGAGGTCTGCCGTACCTGGATATATATCTGGTCTACTTGACAACAGTAGGACAGGACCACCACCCGGCTCTGGTCAAAATTAGTACCTACTAGTACTCATAGTAATAAACTCCAGGGCTTACTACACAATTGCCTTATAATCAGAATCTCCGATCATACTACTGACTCAACTATCTCTCCCAGGTGTAGAGCATGAATAAATTCCTGATATCTAATATTGATTGAGTCAGTATGGCCATCGACTTGAATCTTGTAGTTCAAATTGTTTCAAGTTGATTGGAACTATTATTAGTAGTTAGTATGTATTACTCTTATCAGCTGTTTCCAGTACATACGACCATAGGGTGTGGAGAACAGGGCTTCCCGTCCGCTCAGCCGTACTTAAGCCACACGCCGGCAGGTTAGTAGTATGGTGGGTGACCACATGCGAATCCCTGCTGTTGTATGTTTTTATTTTTATTTTTTATCTTATGTTTATTGTGGTTTGTTGCGAAATCGCGCTTGTATCACAAATCTTCGCCGTCATTATGTTACACCACCTCATACTTGAAGGGCTTTATCATGGCAGACGCATACGCATACATGTAGAGTATCAGTGCTCAAGTTCTAGCCACGGCTAGCAAAAACCTAATTACATTGTAGAAAGCTCTAAAAGATTGAGTACTCATACATGCCCTCTGATACTCAGTCTCCGTGTTTATCACGCGTTTCAGCACACGATCTTAACATAATCCCTCTGCATGCGCCGCATCCATTTCTCTTCCGAAACCAAATCATTACCAATCAACACGAATCCATCTTGCGAATGGTCAACTCGAGAAAAGTGCATGAATTCATGCGAGGCATCACAGAGCAAAAATGGGAAACCAGTCTCATCAATCTTCCCGTGGCACGTATTCTCGAATTTGATATCGATACAATCTTGGCACCAGATCATCTCATCTGCTAGGTGCAAAGATATTCCGCAGTCGCCTCCGCAAATGGATCTCATCTCTTCCTTGAAACGAGCTGCCATGAGCGATCGGATTGCCTTCACATTCTCTTCATCACCCAGAGCGATGAATAGCCACAGAAGCTCCTTGTAGGCAGGGAAGTCATTTTCTTCGATGTCGTCGGTCAGAATTTCGATGCCCTTCCGGACTAAATCGCGAGCAAAGAGTTTGGCCTGTGCCAGGTCACCCTTTCGCGCGTGATATCGCACAATGTATATCGCTGGTGGAAGCACAACGCTGGATTCGGGTACGTCTTCGGGCAGCAATGTCTGGATCTTCTCGAGATAGATAGCCGCAGCTTCATCATCGTTTGCGGCAGTTGCCTTGATGGCCCTTTGCAGGTAATACGGCATGATATTACTGATCAATGACGACAGAAGGTCCGCACTAGCACCCTCCTCAATGGCCTTGCGCCACTGGTCAATCGCCTTTGGCGATCCACTGTGGAGCGCCATGAGTGCGCGTCCATAGTAATATCGGAGATGGCAGAGTCTGGCGCGATCACCCCGAGCTTCGAGCCTTTCTACGCAGTCTCGGAAGGCATCCACGATGAACTGGAGTCGGTCTGCATGGAAAGCTGCTTCCAACATCATTGTAAGATAGTCTTCCCTTTTCATATCAAAGATGCACAGGATGATCATCTCGGATAAAGCTCGTTCTTCTAACCCACGTGAGCTCTCAACTATCACGTCTAAGATCTCCATAAACCGAGCCCATTGCTTTTCTTTGGCACAGCGACTCAAATTCATCAGGTTTCGAGGATAGTTAAATGGCTCAACTCGCATAGCTGACTTTGCAAATTCAACAGTAGCATCAAACTGCTTATGATCTTGTTGCCAAGTCTTCTCCGCGAGAATGAAGAGCATGTTTGAATATTCCGATCGGTTGAGATAGGACTTCTGCCACTCCACATCCGACCCAAGGCGATCAATGACAGGCTTGAGCACGTCGATTCCCTCGGCAGGTTTCATTCTGTTAGCCAGGTGAGTTGATGCTCGCCAGTTGTTCGGATCGAAATTCAGGGCTGTTTGAGCTCGCTGCATTCCTGGAACCCTAGCACCGCAGGCAAGCAACATGGCTGCCATCTGTGAATGCCAAAATGAGTCTCTCTCGTCGATGCCTAAGGTGTTTACACAGAACTCGTCGATACGCTTGATTTCATCGACACGCTTGGGTTCCTCGGCATGCCTGATTTCTTCGATCCGTTTGTTGCCCTCGGCACGGTCGACTCCCTCAGCACGGTTGATTTCCCTAACACGGTTGATTTCGTCAAAAAGTGCATTAAAAGGATCTGGCTGCTCTGGGTGTTCGTCACCGATTTCAAACTGTAATCAGCTATTAGCAAATCTAGGTGCCAGTGCCCATGGAATGGAGCTCTCACCTTCCGAATATAATACACAAGAAACAGGAAAGCACCCCTAGTAACGGGTAGGAGATGCGGCTCCCGTGCCAAGTGCCAGGCCATTCGTTTTGCAGCTGGTGCCAGTAGCTTACCAGGGCCGCCGTCTTTGATCACGTCTGAAATCCACTCCCTCGTTTCTTTATCGGAAACCTCGGAAGTGACAGCCGAGTCCTTGAGCCATTGAATGACAGTATCCGCAGTGTCATTTTTAAGAAGCAGCTTCTCACACATTTCAATTCGAACGGGACTAAAGCGACTTGATTCCTGGGTGCAGACTAACGTGTCGATCGACTCATCGTGGGTGAAAAGCTTGACGAGGAGCTGACCAATTTGAACCTTCAACTCGATGTCGACAAAGGCCAGATCCGCCGCGCCCAAGTGATGATCGAAGAACTTTCTTGCGTAAGGCAATAAGCCTTCTTCATACCCATCGGAATTTTCAATAAGTAGCTCCAGACAGGCAAGGGCCAGTTTAGCCTCTGCTGTGTATGAATCATCTTGGCAGATCCGGGCATTTCCCTTTCTATGCTGCTTCTGTGCCAGAATCGCGTCCAGATTCAGCTTGCTGTACGTGTTCGGTGGGCAGACGGTGCGAAGGAAGTGGTTGATTATCTCAGCCTCAGCCTGGGATACCACGTTCGGGCTAGATTCTTCGGGCTCCTTACGGCCCTTGTGGCGCGAGGGGATAGCTTTCTCAACCTCCGGAGCTCGGAAGGTTATATCTCCTCTGTGAGTAGTCGTAAAAAGAGTGTATTTTGACTTGAACTTGTCTGATAGGCGCAGGAGAGACTTCTTCCCATCCCGGGCACGCAAAGCAGCAGTCAGCCAGCTCTCCGTCATCGGGCCCTTGTGATGTTGAGTCCAGAGAATGATCTCATTGATTTCACGTATTTCTGCGTCGGTGAGACTTCGTTCCAGCTCCTCAATCTCTTCTTGGATCTGCTGCAGACGCTGTCTCCCTGCATTGTCCACGATGCCCATAATCTTTTCGGGGTACTCTTGTTTGCTAATATCGTGGAGGGCAAACTTGATTCGGACATAATCATGACCTGTGTTTTTTATGAGCCCGTCACATACCGACTTTCGGAGGTCCCGAACACTGGCATCGGTACAGTCACTCAAGGCCGGCATGCTGTTCATTCGTGATTCAACAAACGCTTGAACGTCAGATTCGTTTTTCGCATCAATCTGTATTGAGTCGATGGCGATCCCGTCAACCTGACCCAGGTGACTATAGCAGTCGGAATCGCAGGTTATCAGAACCCGGATGCGGCCGCCTGTCTTTGTGGCGGATACGTCTTTCAGGAAGCGAAGCATGCCTTCTCCCATCTTACCCGCTAGACCATCGATGATGATGTAGAACATGCCATTCGCTTCACGGAGATACGGACATTCGAAAAGGAGCTGGTGCGACATGGCGGCCACATCAGCAGTTGGATGTTCTCGACACATACCAGCAGCAGACCTCTTGTAGCGCGCGTCAGTCACGGTCAGTTGCCATACCAGGGACTTGGCCACAAAATCAATGTTGCTTGCGGTCTGTACATCTTTGGCCTCCTCTCCTTCAAGATAGTAATAGGCGGCGCAAGTTTGAGAGTCGGTCGTGTCGGCGGGATTTGCTCGCTGAATGAAGCGCTGTATGATAGAAGTCGCAAAGAAGCTTTTCCCGGTGCCATTATCACCCGTAACTGCGAGGATGTTGGCTCCCGACTGGCCTTTCTTCCATCGAGCAAACGTCGGATCTTCGTATACCCATTGACCCGTAGATGACAATCGCTCCTTCATATAGTCTCGGTACCGCTCGCTCCAGATAGGTGCGACGATATTGGCATAGCCCAATGCTTTTCTAATGACAGCCTCGGTCTGGTTCTGCTCGTGCGCCTCTTTGTCTTTCATTGCCGCGAGATGCATATCCTTGACCTGGTTTTCGATCCTTTCCGTCACCTTGAGAGTTGAGCGGGAAGCAGCCACGGCCTCCTGCGAGTTGAGGAAAGTGTGGGCCGATATCAAAATGTGCTCTTCGCCAACATTTTTGGCCATCTGGCTGATCAAGCCTTGGATACTGCTCTCGCCAAGGAATGCAATCTTTAAAGCGGTCTTAAGCTTCCCTTTGGCGGTGTGTCTCAGTGAGATAGCATGGTCGCAAACTGTAATGAACAATCTCAGCTGCTTGGCCGTAAGTTCGCTGAGACTCTTGTCCATTGATCCCTTGGAATAGATCTGGAGCCGTGTGAGATATTTCGTGGATTCGTCGAAAAGGTCCGTGAGGCCATCAAACGCATTCTCATAGTCCTGCCATGCAGTAATGACAAAGCCGATGGCATTATAACATTGCGAAGCGGCAGGAAAGACCTATTGATATCAGTAAGCCTGATTCCATGGCAATTCAATTTTGATGAGACTTTCACTATCTTACCTGGGATGCTCCATCAGCGACAAATCCACCAACGGTCTGGATCACTTTCAATGTATTCCCCAACACCTTCTTGGCCGCATCCTTCTTACTCGGCTCCATGTCCGGGTGCTCAGTAGATGCGAGGGTTCCCATGACATCATCAAATCCCATGCCTGTGTTGACGGGCCTGCCAGCTTTCTGGGCCAGGATGTTGATCTTCTGCCGGATTTCTTCCCAAATTGCCTGTATCGCCTCATTGTTCGCCAAGCCAGGCCCAAGGGCACCCGGCGAGATACTGCTCAATTTATGGTCTGGTACCGCAGGGGACGGCGATGGCTCAGGATCCGTTGATCTCTCTGGTTCTGCTACCGGCGGAGAAATTGGCGTCACGGTAGGTTCCAAATGGTTTGGCTTGTCCAAAGTCGACGGGGCGTTGGGGACAACATCTTCATGACTTTTTTCTTTGGGAGACGACTTGCCGGTCTTTCGGTGCCTCCAGGGCCGGAGATGCATGACTTCAGGCCGAGATTTGGTTGAAATTTTATTTGCAGATTGTGTGGACGACCGTACAAGAGGTCATATACGTGTTGCCTTCCAACCTCTTCGGCTCCTCATGGTCGATCGGCATTGTCGGCTGAATAGCCCACATTGTCGGCCACTTAAGAGGCTGACATCGCGTCACATCATCTCCAGTCTACTTCTTCGGGACTAGTTACGACGTCAGATCTTCCTCTGATTCGCGTCCTGGATGAATCGGAACCCGGGGCAATGGTTGTGAGGATTCAACAAGAGATAGCTTGGCCCCACTTGAACGATCTGAAGAACTTTTCGTTTCTGGCTCACCAGAAACAGACGATAAGCAGTGCAGAGCAATGAGGTAGTGAGCAGGGTACCGAGTCAAAATGTTCCAGTACAAAGTGGTACGCGTTCCTCGACACATCCCTTCAAGAAATCTAACTTGAACCACCGATTCAACGCAAGTAACACGTTCCAGGAGTTCGACACGCTAAGACTTACCCACCTTTCAGCTCAGCTCCACTCAGCCCCATCCCCCCCCCCCTTGAAAGCTTTTCCACACTTCCTTTCGCGAGCACAGCTGAATGTAATCAACTCTATTGCAGACCAATAGGAGACGACGGGAAAAAAGAGCTATATAGCTTGTGCAAGGTATACATCCAAACGAACCCGACTCTCAGCCTCTCAATAGCCAAGAAACCATAGTCAATTCTATAGGAGCAAAAGTAGAATGAAAGGAAAATGAGGAAGGAAGCAAAATAATCAAAAAATCAAAAAGTAAATAGGGGAAAGGGAAAATTTTTGTTGATCGCAATGTGCTCTTGTAGATCAACTATGATCAACTGGTAAACTATAGCTTTCCCCGGTTAAACCCAAGTTGACCCTAAAGCGGCCACAGCGGCCCTCACCCATTTCTCAACCAAGCGACATATAATCTCTCTCCAGAATGAGTAGGCAAAATAGACTGCCACCTTTATTATACCCACCGTCCTGTTTTTTCTTATGCTGTCCCATCCTTGTGTTCAGTGCACTGAGCCTAGCATTACATAGAGCAATGTGGCTGCACAAACTCGCGGCCTCAGGTGTGAAAGCGAACATGGCATTAATCATGGAGAACCTTCCGCGAGACCTGGCGGCCACATCACAAATGTGATTCCATCAGCGACAGATATACAGAGGTTAGTAAGAGCATAGCTAGATCAATATTAGCTACGCCGAAGTCGAACAAAGAAGCTAAAGCCCTGGGTATAATCCATGAAGACTTCAGACAAGAAAATGTACTTTGGTGTGAAAAGAGCTCGGTCGTGCTTTGATTATCGACTTTCATCGTTCGACCCTGAGATGCCGACTAGCTAAGCAGCCACTGGGGCCGGCAAAACGACGACTATATCAAGTGGACGCCGGAAATACAAAATGTCTTAGGATTCCGGGATAAGGAAATCAATTTCAACGTGTTATATTAGCGATCTACGTTGTGCTTGGTTTCATTCTCGAGTGTAAATACTAATAGTTGTTTGCGGATATTTCCTTAAATTCCCGGCCTATAACCAATTCTCACTAGTAGATCCCCTCTTTAACTTAGTAGAATAATATATCTACAATAATAAACGTTTGCGGCTAGGAAAGTGTGCCTCGATTTCGCTCTATAATAGTCTCTTCTCCTCCTTCAACTCCACCAACAGGTAGCTTTTGCCTGACTAGCACAGCATTTGGTCACCGGCTACTTTTGTCTGCTGCTCAGCACCACAATTTCAGGAGCACACTGTGTAAAGAGGCAAGGTAGCAAAGGAATATTGTCGGGTACTAGTGCAAAGAAAAATATAGGCCTTAGTTCTTCTGACTTAATTGTAAGAATAGTCAATTTAGATAGTTACCGTTCACTCCAAACAGAACACCTCGACCCACCGAAGCAGAACATCGGGTATACCTCACGCTTTCATCTTCTAGAGCAATCGTTCTTTGCACACCACATTATAAGCTCATTTAACATCAAAGCCGATCAAGCTCAGGACCCATCGGCCACACCATACCGCGTAGATTTGCTCTTGTTAGAGTAAGAGCGCTTGTTTCGCGGACCGTCACTTGCGTACCCCGAAGTAACTGGTCGGAAGCAGGCCGTGCGTTTCCACCATGAGTGAGATCCTTTCTGCGATGACTGATTCCAGTACTTTGCCCAGTGTCGCGAGGAGTGAAATCGGCCTCCAGGCCTTCGCAATGATATAGTTCTCTTTGTTCGGCTTTTTGAGTGGTATGATCTTTGCATGTATTGACTGCCTGGGTAACGCGCCTTCTTCCAGCGACATCCGGAATAGTTCAAGGACGCTGTGCTTGACCACGGGCCATGTCATCTTCCAAAGACAGACTCTTTCTTTCCCAGAGACCCACATAGGTGTCCAGTTTGGGTCGCCATGTTCTACATATGTAGATTCTCCTACGACCAATGAGACGGCGCTATGCCCCACGGATGCGGCTTCGTCTAGCCAATGTTAGCTTAGCGTAAAGCCTGTGTGTCTGGGGTAAGACTGTTTGTACGGAGTAGATGATTCGATGATTCGAGCGCGGAAGAAAATCCGTAGGTTTCTAAAAATATTTGCGGGTAACTGTATTTAGCCGAGTTCCTATCGCTGACATCACGTGTATACTAACAGATTCTGGCCCTCACCCAGAATACGGCAGTCAGCGGGGCAAACTCTCATCATCCTAGTCTCCCATTGCTCCTAGATTACTGTGGCGTGTCCCCATCGGAGAAACAGATGTCTCACTGGAAATAGTAGTAAAATGGACGCGACAAACGCCGTATATTGACAACCGTCGCCTGGTAGACAAAATGAACTTTTTTGGTTCGCCGAAATTCAATTTTAGTCGGACGACCTCACTCCTGGGACTGTAATTTCCCCAAGAGATACCTATCTCGTGGCAGTCACTATGCCTGTTCAAACTGGCCAGTCATCACCAGAGCGAAATTTTTTGTTTATCAATACCCAAGATGACATGTGTCAAGATTTTGGAGTCGGAAGAGAAAAGAAAATCTTCCTTTCCCGGCTTGCTCATCAACGAAGGAAGAAACAGTCTATAGAGAGGCTGAAATACGCAAAACCAACTAAGAAATATTATGGGACAGCCGATACAGTGCCCTTTATGCAGGCCATAGCAAGCGAAGGCCGATATTCATTGACAGAATACGTGGGCCAAGGGTATGTCGATCCGTTTCAAACTAGGTCTGTGCCCATGAACGACTCCATGGATATGTATTTTCATCACTGTACGTCGACCAAGATAGCCGTGCAAAGGGCCATGCTAACCACGAGGGTCAGTCTGGGTGCAACTAGCGCCAGCTACTATCCCTCTTGATGGGGCTCGAGAGGGTATTATCTGGGCCCAGAAGGCCACTGGTTTACCAGCTCTTCTTTATACCATGCTTTACCTAGCGGCGGAAAATAAAACAGTGCTTGAGTCTCAGCTATGACACCGATTCGCTGTCTGTGCTTAAGTCATCCCAAGATGCTATCTGGCTCCGTGGTGAGGCTATCAACTGCCTGAATAAACTTCTTCAGGAATCAGCTACCGCAGCGACAGAGTCGACGATACTTTGTGTGTCCATCATGAATCATTGTGAGGTATATTGTTCCTCGATGTTGGGGAACGGGCCTAGAACTAAGCTAATGATTAACACTGTTAGTCGCTTAACGCACACTTGGTGGCGTCACAAGCACATATGAGGGGACTCAGTACACTCATAAACTTAATGGGTGGCTTGGATTGTGCAAGTCATATAACACTCGCAACAATTTACCAGTACAGAATCCACCCATTTTTCATTTTACGTGTCACTGACAGCTTGTAGGGGTGATATAGCGTGTGCGGCATTGCATGATTCAAAGCCATGGTTTCCCATTATTGCCAGGTTTCGTGGAGAGGTTCTCAACCAAGCCGAGATGTTTTGTGGCGGTGCTAAAAATTACCGCAGCCACGAACATCCGATGCCTTCTTCCCTAACGCCTCTCGGTACTCGGTTTATCCGAGCTCCCTGGTTTGCGGAGCTCGACCTCATTATGAAGAACACCCTTACTCTCTGCTGTCGTCTGTTTGTGCGCTTTCATTTGGCGACAACGATGCCGTTCCTTGCCAAGCCGACGGACCGGGACCTCCACATTATTCTAAAACATCGCCTCCTCTCATTTTCTTTCCGAGACGACTATTTAAATGAACCACTGCGTCGGACGCTGTTCATATATATGTACCTACGGATGTGGAACTATGGCAATTTCCCCATAATGCGGTACATAGTGGACCATCTAAGGCAATGTTTAATACCTAGGCTTGCATTCCTCCACGCTACTGCACCAGATCTGTTGTTATGGATTCTGTTTATTGGATCTATCGCCTCTAAAGATTATGAGTCTCACCGCTGGTTTGTGGACCACCTTAGAGAGATCGCGGTCCATCTTGGGTTGATGGAATGGAAAACAGTTCGATCTGTACTGGTAGAGTTTTTCTACGTCGACCAGCCTGGATATACGAGAGGGGAGGACGTTTGGAATGAGGCTCTGGCCCCTTCCTACTCTCGTATTGCACCGATAGCGGGCAGGGAGGAGTTTTGAAAGAAGTTTTTTTCAACTGAATTGAATAGGAATGGGATATAGGATATTGGCCGGGTGTGACGATTGCACACTCCTGAAGGGACCCAACGTAATCCAGTCTTGTAATAGTCAAATCCAACTTGTATAAAAACTACGATGATAGAAAAAATCACAAAAATAGACATGGCATATGTACCAGCACTCACGCATAGCCAGAGAATCTTACACTGTCAAGTCCTGTTAGACGCATCAATTTTGTCCAGCACTCGCATGTAGGCGGACAACTCCTTCGCTCCGTAGGTGATACCTGCGAAGCCCCTTTTATGCATTACTTCCTAGGTCTAGTTAATGGTCTGGTCGCTTGGCATATTGAGGTTCTGGGCGTCTCCCAATGCGCACGCAGAAGCATGGGACTGAATGCCAGTCGCCCCAAGGCAGCCCCGGCTGAAGAGCCCGCGGTGATCACACCGTGGTTGCACAAGAACATGACTTTCTTATCCCCCATGTCCTCTGCTAAGCTCTTCTACTTATTGCGATCGACGACTACACCTTGAGAGCCATGATACGCGATCGGTCTAACTTGGTGATTTGTCTGGGGGAGCTCAAGGAAGCCCTGATTGAGAGACGAGACGACCACAGCCGAGGGGTAGTGGCAGTGCATGACGCTTTGAATGTCCGGTCGAGTGCGAAGGATCGCGCCGTGAATCACGAAGCCCGCGTCATTGATACCAAATAAGCCGTTCGTAACACTTTGATGCTTGACGGATCCATCCGGCGCCAACTTTGATAAGGCTGCTGGCAGTGTATTCCCCGTAGAGAAGACCGAATGGATTGATGAGGAAACTCGAGCCATCGCTTTTGTGGACCTTGGGGGTTACATGGCCGTAGATATCTCAATTTCAGCCCTTGAGTGCAAAGAGGCGATACATCGCGGCCAACCAAATTCGGACATTAGCTTCCTGCTCGGAGAACTCCGAGAGGACAGATGTTTTCAGGAGCTTGTAGACATGATCCGAGCTATATTGGCCTTTGGTGCGCATGTGTGTGGCGAGAAATCAGACGAGAAAGATCGCCGAATAATAGAAAAGGTAGATGCAAAATTCGTACGAGGAGCAGCTTCAGAAAGAATTCGGGCATCTCGTAAAGTCATATTCCAAAATAAGGTGTTCGTGGGAGATAGAAGGACGTGTGTAGGAAAATAAGAACTCATACACCCGGGAGATTTCTATGCTTTATACCAATCTTTCCAGGGGCCAAAAGTAATCTGTCGTTCAATGTGGCTATAATGTAACCCGTCCTCAAACCATAATGCCAGCATCGGCCATGGTACAGTTCAGTAACGATGGGTAGAACAATAATTAGCGATGTGAAATTTTGAAGCTGATAGCTAGATCCTAAGAAAGAATGTTACATCTAAACGGCTAAGGAAATTTGTGCCGCGAGCTTATCAATATCAAGCCACTGGCGTAAGTTGTAAATTAGCTTACTGTAAGCAAGCATAAGGCCAAGAATAATATGTCAGACAATTAGTAGCTTTTTAGCTCACTGGTAGGCTTGCTTCTTCCTACGACAGACTATCCAATCTAAAACGAGCTCCCTTTGATTGGTAGACCATGAATCTATTCCCGCTTCTCCACGGAGGTGAGTCCCCTACAGCCACAGATAAAGCATAGCGCGCCATTGCTTTTCCCATTAGTTACCTCCCTCGGTAAGTTCCTTAAGCGAACTATAGAAGAGTTTGATCTACATCTCTGGAGTCGTTTACCAGCTCTGGGTTCTAGTCCCAAACCCGCAGCTTGGGATTAGCCAGCTGAGGTAATGGCCTATGAGATCATCGCTCCAATTAGAAGAGCCTTCGACAACCGAGCCATTGGAGTGCTTAAACTTGAGTAGATCCTAAAGCCGAAGCAGGCAGTGGAAAATTCGTTCGTATTGGCTTAATTTCAGCCAAGAAACAAACTACGTCCCGCTTGTCTCAAAATAACTTGCTACTATTTCCCACCCTTTTCAGAGCGGATCCGATGCTTATGCGTCTCTGCTCAGCAGTCGTCAGCACCTATGAGGAGTGGCGGTTATCAGCTTCGGGGCTTAAGCTCGCCTTGATCGTAAATCCCCTAACTCCTGCGAGTCAGGGATCCTGTGGCGTCTATCAATCAAATACCTCTTGGCGTCGTATGATGTTTCGCTCCAGATGAGTATTTTCGCTCTATGAATGGCCGGCATTACGATTTCTCGCAAATCCCGGCAGCCTGGTACTTCACAAAGCGCTACGATCCGGCCACTATATAAAAACAACGGACTCAGTCTCGATTTGCTCATCAACATCGCTAATCATTATTTAGTCGCTGTTGTGACGTCCTTCTTGGAGTCAACCCCAAATCGCCTGGTATCATCCTGTCGCCATGCTTTCGCTTCTAGCTACACCCGCCAGGATCATCCTCGGGGCTCCGAAGCAATATAAAGTGCTCTATGCTCGCAAAGGGACTATTTACGGGATCACCCGCGGTCTCATGCACTCTACCAGCCGGTTCAATTCCTCAACGCCCCGTGACAACACCACAGATATCTTTTCCCCACCGTCTACACCTCATATTAAACAGGTAGAGACAGCATGGGTCCATCCGGTGTAAGTCTGCTAAATTATGGGCTATATGCAGTGGCGCTCATGATAGCACACAGACTAACGTGATGCAACCAGGTACACCACTGAACAGATGTGTGCAGTCGCTGTCGGCCATCGCAATGCAAAGAACTGGTCTGACCGCGTGGCCCTAGGTACTGTAAAGGTGCTGCGTTGGGGAATGGACCGCGTGTCTGGCTACCGGCACCCTGAGCTGGGTCAGCAGCATGAAGTCAAATTTCAAATGACTGAGAAGAAATGGCTGACGCGATTCATCTTCCTTGAAAGCGTCGCGGGCGTGCCCGGCATGGTGGGCGGTATGCTTCGGCATCTAAGGAGCCTGAGGGGGCTGAAGAGGGACAATGGCTGGTGAGCGCCGAATCAAACCCAGCCTAGCATAATACCGAGAAAACTAATTGCGGCGTTAGGATTGAAACCCTTCTAGAAGAAGCATACAATGAGCGCATGCACTTGCTTACGTTTTTGAAACTGGCCAAGCCAGGCTTCTTCATGCGACTTCTCGTTCTCGGTGCGCAGGGTGTCTTCTTCAACGGCTTTTTCCTGTCTTATCTCATCTCACCGAGGACCTGTCATCGGTTCGTTGGGTATCTGGAAGAAGAGGCCGTTCTCACCTACACCCGTGCGATCCACGACCTTGAGACAGGCAAGCTACCTGAGTGGGAGAAGTTGGATGCTCCTGAGATTGCCGTACAGTATTGGAAGATGCCAGAAGGGAAAAGAAAGATGAAAGATCTCTTGATGTACGTTCGAGCGGATGAGGCGAAACATGGAGAGGTCAATCATACTTTCGGAAACCTCATCCAGGCATCGGACCCGAACCCGTATGCGTCCCAATATAAAGATCCGACGAAGCCTCATCCGAAGAAGGATCTTACGCATATCAAGACGATAGGATGGGAAAGGGACGAGGTGATTTAAGCTTTGAAATATTATATGGATTATATCACCTGTTTCATAAATGCTTCATCATATTTTCTCAACATCAAGACCTGTATGTATTGAAGTCAGTAGCTGTAGCATATGTTTAGGAAGAGACTTTCTCTGTCTTTTGATACACGTGAACGTACTTTCTCGCCGAGGTAGTTGTCGAGTTTGTTACGGGTTGCACCCATTTCGTAGCCTTATCTGTCAGCGTTGTCCGTTGTAGTTCATTGCACTATTTTGCTCCGGCGGCCGGCCGGATGCCGGTAGGGTAGCATGAAGTCAGTTTCCTTGGTGTCTATTTCTCTATTAATAGCGGCATATGGACTAGAACTATTTCTAAGGTCGTATCTGCTTCCATTTCTAGCAATAATTGATCAAGTCGAAGCAATTTGTCATTTCGGCCGATCTTGAAAGGAGACGGAGCAACGCCGACCAGATCGGCTAATTTAACTGTGGCACCTAAGTGGGTCGGGTCAGACCGCACCTCGGCTGCTTGTACCATTTTCCCTTTCCGGGTTATACTACTGGGTAGTCGCAGTAAAATACGAAATCTTATTGGATTACTCGCAGGGCGATACCTTTAGATAGGATACCCGACGATGTAAAACATGGATTAGGTAGGGCCTTAGCGCCAGGCTAGTTGTATTCCTCAGCCACGACCCGAGGAATGGGGATTCGCTAGATCGGTGAGAAAAAAAAAGATATGCACCCTCGTATAGTTTCATCTGGCTGACCATCAATAGTATCCTTCATGTGATGAGGTAATAATGTACCCCCGGGCATAGTGTACGCCACCAAGGGCATAGCACCGAGATAATCTACTAAGCAGAAAAGCAAAACGAGCAAAAGGCGAATATCTAAAGATGTGTACGGAAAAGATACTTCTGTATGCGGCTATTAAGTCGCTTAACTCAAGGGGAAACCCATATGCACCTTGACAATTGGGATGTTCCTCAGGCGGAAACAGACTAGTATTGGGTCTCTGGTGACTTACAGACAAATTATCTATGTCTGTGGGGAAGGAGGATGCCGCTATGCCAAACCCAGGGCCGCCACAATTGCGTCTGATTGGCCGGTGACACCTTCTACAGATGCTTCGACGGTGCATCAGCTTGCAGCGTCTCATCCTTTGCCAGATATCACGCCATACCAAGTCTTCCTGGCCGTAAAAGCTTCATTGTGTCGGTTCGCGATGACCGTTGATCCGTATATTGGTCCGCCCAGTATATAAGCTGAGCGCGTATCCTCTGATATATGATTATTGAAGAGTTTTGTTATTGAGCAATCTTTGTTTTCACACGTTAAGCTCTGGAAAACAACAGGTGAATGCAAGAATGGAGTATCAACCTCGTTTCACTTCGCGCAGTCCCACTGCCACACATGAATCATCACCCTTTATGCCCGAATTAGAATATCCATCGTTACCACCGGACTTAATCAGTGGATTGGTAAGTCGTGCCAAGCCAACCAACATTAGCCGTTGTCGCTGACTCGGCGGCGAAGAATCACTACATGAATTTTCATGGACACGGCCAGGCCACAAGCATACCGGCTGACAGCTCAATACCCAGCCTTGAGAATACACCCACAGTATCACGAGCTCCTTCAGTTTCATCAACAACCCGCGACACGACTGAGCCTAAAGCTGTACGCAAAATAACTCCCATATCCCATTGAGGTGCTAACTTTATCCGGGAAAGGTGAGGCGCCGAGCTCAAAACCGAGAAGCTCAGCGCAGATTCCGGGAGCGCAAAGAACACCAGAGCAAGCTCCTGCAGAAAGACGCCGAAGAGCTCCATAAGGACCACCAGACACTGTTGAAGCAATACTCTGACACGGTTAGCGACCTCACGCAGCTCGTCAAGGAAAACGAAACGCTTCGGGTTGAAGTTAGGAAATTGCGCCAGCAGTGGCGCTTGTTGCTGGCTGTTCTTCGACTGTTCCAAGGGTCGCAATTACCCGGCGATTGGGCTGAGAGTGCGATCCCTTTCGACGACCTCCGAGTCTACGTTGAAGACTTAGTTGATGGGATTAATCCAAGTACGATGAGATGTCTTAGCTGAATTTCTTTTGATTTGTGTTCCACCAACGGTAGATTTTGCACATCCCCCCCCCCATTCAAAGACGATGAAATCATTGGTTTTAGAGCTTGGTTGATTTAAGATTTTCTTGAGAGAATTCCTTGGCTGACTTGCGCTGGTATGTAGAACAGATAGCTCATAGCGACCTTTTCGGTCTTAGGTCTCTCATTTTGATTTTCCATACAGTTCTTGAAATTCGACGTGTTATATAGCTAGGAATGAAATAGACCTATCATGCTTGGTAGCCTATGATTCCCACGATGTAAGATATGTGTTCCGTCCGCCATTCAACATAGCCCGAGAGGTATAACGTCTGCTGCCCTTTAGGAACTTCCCGTGTAAACGCAAAGTGCTCTATCTAAGTGGAAACCTTTTATGGGAGCCATAAATAGAATTCTGCTCTCGCATCTGTATCCAGGTCTGCACAACAAGCGGCTGTACCTGTAAAAGTGTAGCAAATCCATCTTTATCCGAATGCCAAAAACCCCTTGTAAATGGCTTTGTAGGACAAAAGACAACCTATTAAACTAAATAAGAGAGACATTTCGATTGAGACTTTTAGATAGCACGAAAGCTTCCGATTGTCGTGGGGATAAAAGTTATTTACTAAGAGAACTTGATGTTCGAAATAAACACGGTTTGGGGCAACATATGGTTAGAGAAAATCAAGTTTTAGGCCGAGATAATAAATAATGGGAAGTGAATTGAAGGTCCAGTTCAATAGCAGATTCGCGAGCCATCACTAACATGAATGGTACGGTCTCAAAGCAGCGAGACATACATTTCATTTAGGAAGGTAAATTTCCACTACCAGCATATCGAAGGTGGGCTGGAGTGTGCGGTGAGGTTACGTGAAATGGCAAAAAGCCAGCAGGGAAAATTAAACTAGTCACCTGGGTGATTGTCCTGCAGAGGTTTAAGTTCATAAGCCCGTGCGTAGGACTCAAGAAGAGCTAGACTCTAGGGTCTCCAATCACCAGCTCCGATCGTGGGATCGAACAACTATTTGTCTCCAGAAAACAAACATTAAGAGTGAAGTATAGGGACTTGATGAGATAAGAGAGCTAACGCGCAAAGTAATCGCCATGCTTCGTCATATTCACGTCCCTCCAGATTACGGCAGCCAAGCAAGAATGTCTCGGATGAACCCTAGGAAAGATAGCGCGCACTTCTGCTTCCATAATCTTATGCCACGGATGACTTGGCAGCATAATAATTCTACACCAACCATGAGTAAGCACGGGCCAGAAGTTTGTTGTTGGAACCGTCGAGATTCAATCGATTTACTCTGATGAGGTGCTTTTGATAAGCATTTGGGTCCGAAGTTTGTGTATAAAAGCCTTTCTTGTCCCCTGCAACTCAGCTCTTCCGTTTTGATGAGCAGACCCGTCCTCTTTCTTACCTGATCCTACTTTCTACTGCCAAATACCCGAAAATCAAATTAGAAATGCTTTCTAAAACATTTGCGTCGTTGCTCGCTTTATCTCTCACCGTGCTTGGCGCTGGCGAGCCCAATAATGCAATATCAACCCTCTACCAATTTCCTCGTGGCTCATGGCTAGAGAACCTCGAGACAGGTCCTTCTAACAGCATCCTCGCAACGAGACTTGACATCCCTGCTGTTTACCAAGTTAAAGCTCCCCAGGCTCAATGTGGTCCAGGTGCTGGAATAGCTTCTGCGGAACTTATTCAATCTTTTCCCAGTGCGACGGGCGCCCTGGGGATTGTTGAGTACAGGAAGAATCGCTTCGCAGTCATTACTGGAAATTACAGCCTCGAGACGCATGATTCTACCGTAGGAAGCTACGCTATCTGGGACGTGCAGTTCTCGGGCGCCGGTCTCGACCACGTCGCCGCCAAGAAGCTTGCCGATATCCCCGAGGCAGGCTTCCCGAACGGAATGACGGTGATGAACAAGAGGTCAGGCACCCTACTTATTGGAGATAGCTGGAATGGGACCGTCTACCGATTGGACCCGGATACCGGTGACTACGAAGTAGTCTTGGAAGACGAAACTATGAAGCCACCTACCGGGGAGAACTTGGGGTTAAACGGCATCCACACTGTGCTCGTCGGCCATGAAACATTCTTGTACTATACCAACAGCCTGAAGGAGACGCTTGGTCGAGTACGAATCGATTCAGTCAGCGGACGCGCAACTGGTCCCTACACCACACTCGCAACAGGTGTCTGGGGCGACGATTTCACTTATGACCGAGCGACTGGAGATATCTACGTGGCTGGAAACTTTGAGAACATTGTCACAAAGCTGAACCGCAAGGGCGACACGGAAGGTATAATTGGCGCGGAAAATCAGCTCACCGTGGCTGGCGCAACTAGCGTGTTGCTCGGAGGTGAAAGCGACAGAATTCTCTATGTTGCTACATCCGGTGCGCTGGCTGCCCCTGTAAACGGCACTATTACCGAGGGTGCAAAGATCGTTGCTATTAGAATCGAGCAGATATAGAGATGATTTTAGGTGGTTATCCGACTGAGCCGTTGATAGGATTGGCAAGAGCCCGTTCGACATGTTTGTACTTATCTTAGCTGAATCTTGAGCCCATGACGACCCAGCTTTTGGCAAGTGAGAGCAAATAAACTTAACTAAAATTGCTAGCCGCATCTTGTTTTCTTAAGACGACATTCTTTATGAGTTTAAAGTAGACTTTTGTAGAATACATACTAGTAGACTTTTCTTTATATCGGTCTGACGCAGGCATCGCGTCGCCATCTTACCGCACTTTGACTTTGTGGAGTCTGTGGTCTCTATTTGAAACCCGCACATGCGGAGCGAGCTACCAAAACACATGGAATACATTGAAAGATTAGTAGATTCGAAGATTGTCAAGCTTGGATCAATACCAGCGATATATTCCTTACGTTTCTTGATTTTCTGGTACCACTGCGACCTCTCGCGACTCTCTTCGACAATCTAGATCATCAGAGAGGGGCAAAAGTCACACGTTTGGCATTCACCAGGTTATAAATGGACTACGGTTATCATTAAGACCACGTTACCAACTCAAGACCCGGTTGCCCTTGCTTGTAATTGATTTAAATGAAGTGCTAAGCCCAGGAATACCACTCAACGAAGCAACATATGATATCAGCAACCTAGGTACTAACCTGGTTTTAATCAAGGATCAATGACTAAGGAAATGTAGTCACCAAATGACCGGCAACTCGACAATTCCAACATCTCGATACGGATCGGAGTATTTAATCTCATGGTGATTGATAGCGAGTCTGAGATTGGGTAGCTTCTGGAAAAGAGAATCTGCATGAAAGATCAGAATACGCCAGTCGCTCTCTAAATTTCTTATTACTCACCAAAAACAGTTTCCAATTCAGCCCGAGCAAGCGCCTCGGCGATGCAGCGATGGTCTCCAAAGCCGAATGCGAGGTTCTTTGCTGGGTCAACCTTTCGGTGCAGGTTAAATTTATCGGGGTCTGGAAAGACATCTTCATCGCGATTCGCAGACTGATTCGAGGCAATAATACCCTCGCCTGCTTTAATGGTCTGGAGGAATAATTGTCATGGTAATATTCTCAACAATACCGGATATGGGCCTCACCTGTCCCCTAAGGGTAATGTCAACCTTGGCCACACGCCGGGTCGCAAATGCCGAGGCAGTATGATACCGACAGAGCTCTTCAACGAATGCCGGCGCAAGTGATGGATTCTGTTTAAGATCTTCCAGCTGGGCGGGGTTTTCGAGGAGGGTCACGACGCCCTGCGATAATCCGCGTGTCAATGGCCACAGGAGCTGGAACGGTTAAAAATCGAGAGTCAATGATGCTTACCAGATTGATCATATTGGCCGTTGTTGCGTTTCCAGCGACGAGCAACAGGAAAGCAATCTGAATAACGTCTAGTTTCTCAATATGCCCGGGGTTCAGCTGCTAATTTTAGCAAATGTACGTCTCGCCGACGATTGATGGAGCCTGACTTGTTCAACGATAAGCGTACTGATGATATCGTCCTTAAGATCTTCGCTTCGCTTGTCTAGCAACTTTTCCAGATAGCCTAAGATATCTCTAGGTGTTATAATTCTTGTCAGCTGATATATGTTTTTATCGATAGAGAGATTAATGGCTAACCGATTTGCATCCTGTGCTGCAGCTGCTGTGGAGCTACCATTGGTGCGAACAGCGTTCATTTCAGTGAGGTATGCGATATCTTCGGCTGGAATCCCGAGGATATGGCAAATCACCTGATTGGGATTCAGTCGGATACTCGAAAGGTGGAGGTGCAGGGCCAAGATTTAACCAGTGACATACCAGCAAGGGGATTGGTGAAGAAAAGTGTTCAACCAAATTCACAGGCGTTTCACAGCCTATCTTCATCAAGTTATCAATAAAAGCATTCACTGTCTTTCTAATGAACGGCTTCAAGTGGCTGAGGTGGACTTTATCAAAGGCCTCGGAAACCATGTTCCTATTCTAAATTTAGTATGCATGATTAGAAGTGCAAAGAGCTTTTCAGGTTGGTGAATTGCGACCTTTGGCACATATGATCAGGGGGATCCATATCCACAAACGTAGGCCTATTTTTCGCAGCAGCCTTGCCGCCCGGTGTCATCTCGGGAAACCCCGGGCGCTGACGCTCCTGGGATGGAGTTAGATTTCGTAATCTGAAGACAAGATGTGGCAAAACTCACTTTTGAAAGCCTGGTGTCGGATAGAACATTGCATATATCCTCGTGTTTGACGACAAGCCACGGCTCGCTTTTGTCCCAAAGCTTCACGCGGCTGATAGGGCATGTAGATCGAAGCTCAAAAAACTCGGAAGGGGGTTCTACAGCTTTGACACGCGCGAAGGGAAAATTTGGGGCTGTTGCGCTATTCATGTTTCTTTTAAACTGGGGTTTGGGGTTGAACTAAAGGCGCATGGCAATGACTTGGGTGCGAGAGAAGATTGAACTCAACAGTTGACTGCAGACAAAAAAGAATGATGTGCAGTGACAGCACAGCGTATTTATATGCCTGCGAGTCGTAAAAGCCGTGTACGGCATGATACTCAATTTGAGATCAGACGCTCACCATCTACTTACCTATCCCCACAATGCACTGCTTACTGGGCAAGGACAAGTGAGAGTGAATGCGCAGATGACACATCTGGTGTTAAGAAAGAGCAAACACCAATAGCGGAAGTCTTCATGAGTCAATTATCTAACAGAGTTTTTAATTAAACAAAATAGCTGATATAATCCTGCAAGGCATGGGTTCATTTGCAAGAGATAACGCAGCTATAATTAGATGGCGTGTCTCAAACAGCTTATGAGAGACTGCATCGTCTGCTAATAAGCCGCTAATATACTAACGTCTCCGTCTTTTATCACAGTACGGTCCAGCCAGGTCCTTTCTGCTTTCTAATTCACTGCCACGTTGCTTTCCGGCTATAATGGGCTATTACTTCCATTTTATCGCAACTTGCGTATAAAACTCCGCAGAAGACCCTCGACTCACGTTAGTTAGCACCGTTAACCACTATATGTCAATTAATTCTCGAAAAGTTCCTCTCCCAGCTATCATGGCAATCTCCCCAGCGCGAAAGCGCATAATCGTCGCAGTAACAGGGGCGACCGGAGCACCACTGGCCGTTAGCCTGCTCAAGACCCTGCGACGATTGGACGTCGAATCCCATCTCATCATGTCCAAATGGGGAGCTGCAACCTTGAAATATGAATTAGACCCGCCCAACAACACACCCAGCTACTTGCAGTCGCTCGCTCACACGACCTATGCTCCGCGCGACGTCTCTGCCGCCATATCTTCAGGCTCCTTTCGGACCGACGGTATGATTGTCGTCCCTTGCAGCATGAAGACTCTGGCTGGGATTCGAATGGGTTATGATGATGATCTCATTACTCGAGCGGCGAGCGTGACGCTAAAGGAGCGAAGAAGACTTGTTCTTGTTGCCAGGGAGACGCCCTTGAGTTCCATCCATTTAGAGAATATGCTACAGTTGTCGCATGCGGGCGCTGTGTTGTTTCCACCTGTGATGGCATTCTACACCCAACCAAAAGGCATAAAAGATATGGTAGAACAGAGCGTGACTAGGATGATTGATGTACTGGACTTGGGAATTCAAAGCCACAGTGAGCAGGGTGAGCGATGGACTGGGTTTCAATGGGAGGCAAAACAAGGGCAAGGTCGAGGGGAAACCTAGCCCGCGGAAGGCCAAAATAAAATGGATATCTGTATCTAGTGAAAAGAAATAGGTCAGTGGGCCCCATCGCGCAGCAAAGTCTGTTTACTACGAACACAAGACAAAGATTCTCCAGAGTAAGTTCTACATAGCTCTATTTTAATAATACCGATATCTAACAGGCAAGTTAAGACCTAGTCTCGAGATCAAGATAGTAAATCGTTAGTACCTACCGATAATATTCTTTACTTAATGCTTGAAAATAATCCTTTGGTCACAGTAAAGCTAAATAATCTCAAAATTTTCATTAATTCTAATTGGCTAATAAGCCTCTTTCCTAGTTCTTCCGGTTAAATTCATCATTTATACTCCTAGTTAAGAGTCACGCTAATAAGTAAAGATTGCTCGTAGTATTACCACTTTATTATCATAACAATAGAATATAATTTATCAGATGATGTGAGCTGTACATACGAAGGCTCGGTAGGGGACGCAATGAAGTATTGACGAAAGGCCCTTGTGCCCCATACCAAGGGCTTACCGGATCTAGTGTCCTGCCTTCTGTCCTATCTCACCACCCGTGACTGAGTGTTCTCCACTAGGTAGCCTACGCCACTAGATCTAGACCTGGATTGATAATAGTGTGGGGACAAGCTTACCATAACAACTCCACCTGTATGCTTATCCACTCGAGCTTATGTTTCTGATTAGAATTTACGCCGAGGGCGAATCAAACACCCCACACACAGCGGTATATTCCTATCAACTACTGTGCCTATGAAAGCAGGAATCAAAGAGGCTTATGACAACAGAAGCGACACGTGCTTGTGATTCGCACCTCGTTTGTCATTTGATACACATCATGTAATCTTCGTGTCATCAAATCTAAATGATCTGGAGCGTATACTGCAGTTGCACCACACGGCTGCATACTAGTGCACAAAGAGATACAACCATTTAAATAACTGGTCACCACAACCGTTTACGCCCACCATTTTCCTCCCATCGGGTTCCTTCTAGGTATACACCACCCCAGTCAAGATGACCACGAGCACACCCCCACCACACCTTGACTTTCGCGCTTTCGTCGACGCTCTTCGATCTGACAATGATTTGGCCGATATCAATGCCGAAGTTGACCCTAATCTCGAAGTAGCTGCCGTGACAAGGCGGGCATACGAGCTCCAATCCAAAGCCCCCCCTGTTTAACAACATCAAGGGCGCCCACGATGGCCTATTCCGCATCCTCGGGGCTTCAGGTGGCCTCTCCAGCGACCCGCAGTTCCCCTACCGTCGGCTCGTGAGACATGTCGGCCTCTCTCCAAACGCCAGCCTCGGTGACTTCATTGACAAGATGCTCTCAGCAAAGGGGAAACCTGGAATTCCTCCAGTCCACGTTGAGACCGGGCCTTGCAAAGAGAACAAACTGTTTGGCAATGATATTGACCTGACGAAGCTGCCTGCCCCGCTCCTCAACAAGGCCGATGGCGGTAACTACATCCAAACGATGGGCATCAATATCGTCCAGCATCCTACTAAAGCCTGGGTCAACTGGTCGATTGCCCGCGCAATGGTTTTAGACAAAACGCGCATGGTCGGATTGATCATGAAGCCGCAACACATCGCACGCATTTACGCGCAATGGATAGAATCAGGGAAGGATATGCCCTTTGCAATTGCGCTGGGTGCTCCGCCCATCGCCGTAATGGCTAGTAGCATGCCTCTCCCGGAGGGTGTTACGGAATCCGAGTACGTCGGTGCCCTATGCGGCGAGCCACTAGAGCTGGTTAAATGCGAGACAAACGATCTGTATGTTCCGGCGCGGAGCGAGATCGTCATTGAAGGTACTGTGTCCATCACCGAACGGGCCAAGGAGGGTCCTTTTGGCGAGATGCACGGCTACAGCTTCCTGGACGAGGAGTTGATGGAGCCAATCTACAACGTAGCGGCTATAACTTATCGTAGCGGAAACGCGATTCTTCCCATCTCCGTTCCTGGCCGTGCGACAGGACCTGACGAAACCCATACTCTCATCGGCACACTCGCATCGGCCGAAATCAGGCAGCTTCTCCAAGAGAATGGTCTTCCGGTGCTCAATGTGTTTACTCCATATGAGACACAGGTTATCTGGGCAGCAGTCCAGGTGGATCGAAAGAAGCTTTGGGTACTGGAAACGAACGCTGAGGAGTTTTGTCGCAAGATAGGCCAGCTTGTCTTCCGTCGTAAGTGCGGCATGCAGATCCATCGACTTCTCATCGTGGGCGACGATATCGACCCCTTCAACTTCAAGGATGTTATCTGGTCCTATGCGAGCCGCTGCCGGCCGGGAATGGACGAGTACCATTTCGAAGATGTTGCGGCCTACCCTTTGGTGCCGTACATGTCCCATGGCCCAGGAACCAAGTTGACTGGAGGTAAGGTCGTTGCCAATTGTCTCTTGCCGCATGAATATAAGCAGGAGCAGATGTGGGTGACCTGCGATTTTGAAAACGGGTACCCAGAGGAGATCAAAGAGAAAGTCCTACGGCGATGGTCAGATTTTGGTCTTTAATCTAATGATAGATACCCGGTATGCTTAACGCTCATGATGTGGTATCTTCGTGAATAGGCCGCGCCAAAACCCGCCCACGAAAATGTCTAGTCAATATTCCAATCGTTACAATTTTGTACTTTCTAAAAGAGAGAAGTTTACTATATTATAGATAGAGCTAAGAAAATGTATATATATAATATATTAAATATTAGAGATATCTCCCTTACGAGTATTACTAACTATTACTAGTATAATATTAGTATACTAAATATTCTAGTAAACTAGATCAAGAGAGAAACTACTAACTATATGTAACGATTGAGGCATTCGAGTGCCTGGCACGTGACTACGCACGTGACCCAGGCAGCCGCTCATGTAGATAGTTGTGATGGGAGCTTCTCTCTTTCTTCTCTTCTCTTCTCTCTTAGCTTAATACCTTCGTTCAATACTACTAATATCTTTCAAAGCATCTGAGTCATTATACTATGGTTTCTTGGCTAATTTAATTATAGATTTATTTTTCTAATAGTATATCTAAGCTAGGAGACTTAGTCTTATCTACATCTAAAATATCCTATATTCTAGAATAACTAAGGCTAAGAAATACATTAAGTATAATAATCTCTCTAATGTTATTTTAATTCTTTGTAAACTTAGTAGTTAACTTAAAAACTCCTAGTAAGGAATTTTTGTAATACTTATATACTTTAGAAAATAAGTAATTATAGTAGAATATATCTGTAATGGTTACTAAATTGTCAGGCTAGAGACCTGTGACTAGGCAAGTGTGTCGGATGGTAGAGGTCAGATTGGACAGTTGATACACAGACTGATTCTTGAAGAGATCAAGAATTCTGAATGATTGTGGGATCTTAAGTACACTAGGGTTCGAGTGGATCTCGATATGCAGGTGGCTCGAAGGGGATTCGAGTGCGGATCGACGTCGAACGTCTGGGGTGCTGTATACTCGAATCCCATGACAATATCTAGGTCTTTATCCATCTTAGGAAACTTATCTTTATTATCTTTACTTAGTCAATAGTTGTACAACTATATTAGGATAAATAGTAGATTATGGAATTAGTAAGGGTATATTTTTAATTTCTAACTATTATTACCGTTTACAGTAAGTAATTTTAAGATAGTTATACTTACTGTAGGTAATGGTATTAGATATGTAGCATAAATAAATCTTAATTATAGAAAATATCTTATTATTCTAGAAATTTTACACTAGGTATTCCTGTAGCTTTTCGTGGTTGTTATCTAGGGTAATAAGGCTATATACCTAGATAGGAACTAGGTAGTCAGGTTCTGAGTCTGGCACAATATACTACTTAAGCACCATATGATGACCTAGATAGTTAGTGTAGGTATGTACTTGCTGTCAATCGCTCCCTTCCATGGCTAATTGGGCCTTTGGGGTATTTAGAAAATAAAAAGACTTTAGAGCAGGATTGAGGGAGTAAATGAGTGGATATTCAAATGATGTACTTTGCGGTGTTTATAAGGGGAATTCACGTAAGGAACAGGAGGATCGGCGGGAAATTAGGGCTAAATTCAGTGCCACTACTAGACAACCACTGCTACAAATATTAATTACTAAATAGTATTCACTACTAACTACTTTGTAAGTTATACCTGTAAGTTTTAAATCATGAGCTACGAGTAGGACAGAAGCCATATGCGTCTATTTAAGGGAGCTTTCGCAAAGTAAAAAAAGAAAAAAAGAAAAAAAGAAAAATTAAAATACATTCTGTTGCGTCGCACGGATGCTACAAAGAAACTGTAGGCTGATGCAAAACTAACTCGTGAGAATCATTCAGACAACGTGCACCCATCTCAAAGCACTCCAGACAAATATCGAAGTTGTTAGCATTACAGATATGGCAATGATGAGAGGCCCTTGAAGCGGACATTAATCGAGTGCATGCATCGCAACGCCCAGTAGTTTCACCTATCGACATCAAACTAGGCTCCACAGCTAAATCATCCTCGCATACTTCGATACCTCTTATTTCAGCAAATTGGATGAGGGCATCGGCAACTCCAGTTTCCCCACATCTTTTAGCCCACCAGAGTAAGGTGTGACCAAAGCCGTCTTTCAACTGGAGGGAAGCACCCTGAATATCAAGGAACCAATCAACGGCCAACTGATGCCCATTTATTACAGCTGTAAAGAGTGGGATTGACCTATACCGGTCCTTCGTATCGACCGCAGCGCTACAAGAGAAAAGTTTATGCAGGATTTCCACATGGCCTCTCACAGATGCAAGAAAAAGTGGCGTTCGTCCACAGGTGTCCTCCGCTTCGACGCTAGCTCCATGCTCGTACAGAAACTTGACGACTTCGAGATGCCCCAAATCAGATGCTGTAGCTAATGGAGTCCGGCCATACTTCGTTGGCTGATGAACATCGGTATCTGCGCCATGCTCATACAGAAACTCAACGACTTTAAGATTTCCATTGCTTGACGCAGTATATAGTGGTGTCCAGCCTTCATTATTAGGCGTATGAATGTCGGTATATGCTCCATGAGTGTACAGAAACTTGACGACATCGAGATTTTCATTGCTTGACGCCACATTGATAGGTGTCCAGCCTTCATTATTAGGAGTATGGATGTCAGAATCCGCTCCATGAGTGTACAGAAACTTGACGACCTCGAGATATCCATTGCTTGACGCAGCATAGAGTGGTGTCCATCCATCGCTTTTTGGCTTATGTATAGTATTTTCGTGATCGACGGTTGTCATTTTAGCGCCCTTATTTAAAAGTAACTAAATCCAATACCCCATCCTGTGCTGGAAGTTTCGCCCAAGATGAGGAGTCTTCTTTTTTTTGGTCTGTGAAGCCAACCTACAGACCAGCCATCTCAATGGACTACGACCATACCCAGGGGTAATCTGACACAGCAGTATCAACATCCACTGCTATATTATCGCGTTCAAAACATAAATGACGAGGAACTTTTGTTTAATTAATTAATTAACTCCAAGGGGTTGGAAAGCAAGGAACACCATTGTTGATTGATGATCAATGGTGTTCATGACCGGGTTACGTTAAATGAGAGCCTAGAAAACAGCAGAAGGGGAATTTTTTGGTCCTCATAGAGCAGAGGCATCCAATAAGGTAGCCTCAATTTTAATGAGCAAGACAGTTGAACTAATAGAGTAGTGTGACCACACCACGGTACCATAGGTGGACTCAGGAACTCGCGCATGTGGGTGTGGGTGGATGCCAGGTGTGAAGGTGTAGGCAGGCATGATATCGTTGGTTCTAAGGCCAATTATGCCCCGAGTTCAGTTACAGGCCGTGATATAGCAAACAAGAATCTCCGTGAATCACGTTTACAACTGATGTGTGATTTATCATCGACAGCCCTGCCACGTAACGGGTGCACATGCTGCCTGCGGGCTGTGATAAACCAGAAATATAACTAGTACACATGCTCACAAGATCACCTTGTATGTAGACTCAATGGTCATGCCAAGACTCAAGTCTTAACAGTTCGTCCTATGAGGCTGCACAGGTACCCGATGAATAAAGGGATATCACGCCTTATCTCACCTTTACCACAGACCGTGTTTAAACTGTATATACCTGAGAGCCAAATGCGGGGTCAAACATGTTTGCTTACTCCTTTTGGCTAAGTGACAGGGGTTACCACCGATGTGATGTTAGTAGAGGCCTCTACAGCAGCGTGGATTGATCAAATCCATCACAATACGTATGCGAGGGGCCGAAGAAGGCAAAATAAGTGAGGGGGGATAGGAGGGATTAATCTCTAGAGTGGGGAACAGAGAAGGCTAGCCAAGTGCTTGATGGACTCAGCCGAAGGGGTCTATTTTCGAGATACCGCAGAAGCCGCAACCGTCCATGATTGAATAGCGCAACATTCGATACACTTATCAATTTTCTTCGTAAAAGAGACATTGCTGCATTAGTAGAGACGGCTGACCGGTCATTTGCCTTCATTTGAGCCTCAATGTGAGCGGGGTAGATTTTGCCTAGAGTTTGGAGGCAAAGCAAACTGCAGCCTACCCTTGCCAGGCTGACGTGCCAGTGATAGACCAAAGGATCAAGGGAATTGTGGAAATAGGGATTTAGAAATTAGAACCTCAAGCGATGAAAAATGAGCTCTTATTCTTGGCTTTGTCCAGCCTCCTTTCTCGCTTCACTTTTGTCAGTCACCTCGTGCCAAGTGCGGAGTAGATACATATGATCTGTACATATTTGTTCCAGGAGGGGAGCATGGATATCGCCCGGGTTAATGGTTGCCTTTTATGAGCTGAACTTGCGACTTTTTCCAACTTTGGAAAGAGCAAACATAGGCAGAAAATACGAAGTTCTGTTGGCTAATTGATATTACGGGGGTTCCTTAAAACCCCCCTTTTTGCGGTACTCCGCACATGATATATTTTTGTAAAGTCCTGGAGCCTACACTTGGGTGGATCCATGGATGCAGAGCCGAAGACTACCAGTGGAGAGCAATTTTAATTTTTACTAGACTTGTTCAATACCTGAGGCCATCTCCATTGATCTACCAGTAGCGATGCATGATATACTAGTAGTGAATAGTAGTACTAGGACCATAAATATACAGCAAAATAATATAATGGATTCATTCAGCGTTTTTTATGGGACTTGATCTGTCAGTAAAGAAGACGGCTTGCTTTCCACACGGTGGTAAGAAATCGTTATTGGTCTTTGTGCTGGGAAGCTTTCACTAGTAGATCGTGAAGCTACACAGTGAGACTATGCCAGATCGAATAATCCTGATATTCTGGGCGGATAGAGCGGAAAATTACATCTACAATATGACATGCTTTCAGTTCCAGCAAATGATCAAATGCCACATATATGCATAGGTGCTTTGGGCACTTACAACCCGCTTCTGATATTTCTCGACCCTTGTCAATTTAACCAGGATGGAACCCTCGAGAGCAGTCTTATGATGACGCCACAATCTTACAATACATATTTACAAAGGAATTTTTTACCCAGTACTAGGCTACAATGCTCTGAGGCTCAATCATCTGCGGGCTCGTGTCTATAAATGGTCCCTAAATGACGGAGAGTTCAGAGTTTATCCAACCCTCGAGTACAATTTGACCCTTACTGGAGCTCAAGTGGCCCTTCTGGTACAATAAGTCGGCTCTATATTTGATATTTTCAGGTTTATTTGCCTTTTCTGACCTTTTCGAAGTACTGGAAAGACTTTTTGAGATTATTATCCTCTAAGCAAAACATACTCGACCTGCTTTACATAAGCGAGTAAAATTACAATAAGCTTGTTTGTATTTTCCACCTGGAAGTTTGCCACTCATTTTGACCAAAAGCAGAATACCATGCTTCAATCTCAGATCAGAACAGGCCGCGCAGGTGGAGATGGTGGACCTGGCGGACCTGGCGGACCTGGTGGAATTGGTGGACCTGGTGGACCTGGCGGACCTGGCGGACCTGGCAGATGTGGTGCAAGTAATTAAGGAGGGAGAAGCAAGAAAGGCAAGTAGGAGGAAACCCTTCGTGAAAACAGGGAAGCTGTGATGATTCAACATCTTATAAGGGAATTGATGAGAAGGTTTTTGATGGCAAACGCCGCGGGCACCTGATGTGGCGAACATCTACATGTTGAATAGCCTCTTCTTCTTCCACTTCCTCTTCCTCCTCTTCCTCTCCTAGATTCAATTACTTTCGTTGACAAGAACCTCTTTGATATCCTTTATTGTAGCCGGCACCGTTACAAAAGCCAAAACCCACCAGAATGTGACGATAGTTCTGGTTTGGGAAGAAGGTGGTTTCGTATGGATTCTGAGGTATTGCGGTATAGTCAATATTGACGCTTGCTGCAAGGAATAATGAGGGTGTGCATATTGTACTGATACATAGGTGCGTTTAATGATAGCGGAGCGTGGCTATTGGGGCTCTGAGGAAATTCCTAGGATCAAGTGACTCAACATTCGCAATGGAATTCCTCCCAGATGTGTAACTCATGTTCAAGCTCGGTTCTAAGCCCGCTGTAAACCCATCATATTAGCTCGTGGTTCCATATAGTGACAGCAGCGGAGTTTAACCCACTGTGTTTCTACCTTCGATTTTGATTTTTGATTGTCCAATGAACATATGAGTGTCTACATGTCCGAGTCAGCGACCATCATTTGTAGAATGTATGTGCGAGTGATTCTCTCGACGCAAAGTCATATGAAAATTCCAACAAGAGCCCTTTCTCCAAATAAAAATTTCATATATCTTTCAAGGTTAGTACAGTAGCTACCAGATTCTAATGAGCCCTCCGCGATGAAAATACAGAAACCATTTCTCCCTGAACCCATCCTGTGGGAAATTCCTTCAAAAGGCCCCGCTGCTTTCTCTTTTCCCTTACATACAATCTGAACCTTGGAATCGAATATTGCTAACCGCTGATGTCACAGTCGCCAGTTCCACAAGGCTTGCTGGGCGAGACCTGTGCTCTCTCTGGACCCTAACTCAAATCAAACAGTCTCATTTAGAAAAGAAATGAATATCTTCAAGTTCGTCTTCCAAGGTCACCCGTCGGCCAAATCGCTCTTGGGTGGTATGTACCACTGAAGTCTCGAGCAAGTATATACTGTTACTAGTACTAGTATTTCCAAGGTTAGATAATGCCTTGACGCTCCCTTGCATTTCACGTACTCCATCTCGAGGCATGCCATTGTAATATACGCAGATGTCGCGCAATCGTGCGAGTCCGCAAGAATTCTAGCCCAAGAGCTTTGACCTTTAAGAGGAACATTTTGATAACGAGATATGTCTCCTATATGCGGCTAAGCAACGCGGAGAGACTTCTGAGTCCCTGTGGAGTCCAGAACCGTAGGCTGAAGTTCTATCAGAATTTTCCATATTGTCTCCCAAATTTTCCTCCTAGAGTTCTCTTCCATGACAATCAACCGACTTCTGAATCCGTTGAAGTCAAATGTTTCACCTCGTAGTTTGTTTTCCAAGTTTGCCCGGGGAAAGTCGTCTGAGGCAGCGTACACGTGACCAATATCTGTGGGAGATCTGGGGCAATGTACACGTGACAAATAAAAACGATGAGCACTGGTCTAGAAAACACACTTTTTCTTTTCCTTTTCAAAAAGTGGTGATCGTAGCCGTCAAGGGTCCACCTTCGGACCTAAGGTTCGGGGTTTAGCTTCTCCTCACAATGCAACAAATCAGCTGCACCTATTCGCCTCGGTTCGGCTATCCGTAAACCACCAACTCCACAATTATTCGCCGCGAACTAGTAGCGGCGTTCCGACCTAGATCTTTGCTCTCTAAAGGGACAAATTAGCAAGCGACCTCTCGATAGCTATTTGCCCATTTCGTAACTGACCTGTGAGTTTATTTCTGATAGTGTAAAAATAGCGACGCGTACGTCAACAGACTGGGCCATTGCCTTGTTTTTACGAAAGGCAATCGAATGAACCCAGTCCCACAGGCTTAAAACCAGCCCATCCCGAGTCGGGTGTACGGAGTACTCCGTGTAAGCCATCAGCCTCAATCGACCAAATTATGCCGGAATCTCCGGGTCTTCGCCTTGTATGACCAGCAAATAATTCCTTAAAAGCCGAAGAGAACCTTGTTTGCCACTCTTTTGAGGCGTTCGTGCAGCTGTGTTTTTCTACGCTCACCTCATTACTCTCTTTAATAATTTTATTCATTCCTCTCTTTCAGTTCAATTATTTTTGACATCTTGTACACCAACCGACAGGAAACTCTTCCGCTAACACTCCTTTCTCGAAATTTGCAACAAGATGGCCTACTGGCTGTCACTTAGCCTCTTCATTTATGGTATTGTTGCACAGACAGCATTTCAATCGAATGATAACGATTACATTCAATACCGCACTGTCAGTCTAATTCTTTTCGTGATGTAAGCTTGACCAATTCGCATGTTCTGACAAGGTCTCAAGCTCCCGAAGCATCGTATCATAAAATGGAATATCACCTACCATGATCGATCCGCTGTTGCCCCGTTCTATTGGTTTACCGCACCCTATTGGTCACACGGTGGTGATAAGTCGACGAACCAGTGGGTCCCATACCAGATTGGACCTCATATATTTGATCAAGATGGAGTTTGTGACCCCGAATCCTTCAAGCTATCATAAATGTGGTCTATACTAAATGTTAGTGTCTGATCAGGTCCTCGTGTGGTCCGGTTCTGCCGAATTCGAAAACCTGAATGTATATGACTTTCGGCGAATCGATCTCCCTGATACAACCGGGAAACTTCAACCGCATCTATCTTGGATGCGATGGCACACACCAGATGACATGCTATCTCCCGGCCTGACCGCGATATATGATAACTGCTACCAATCCAAAAAGATTTTAACAATTCCTGCGAATGAGGTGGACACCCACGAGTTCAATGTGAAATACTCGCCCAACGTTTTGCAGATCCAAACCCGACTCGAGACAATCAAATTGAACGAGCTGGGCCGACCGGACGATGAATGGGGGGTGTGGAGTAGTGGCTTTACCGAGACAAACCTGATTACTGGGGAACAAATATTTGACTGGAGGAGCAACAATCGCGTCCAACTCGACGAAAGTTACGTCACCCTGGCAGAAGATGAACATCCCTCTGGGGATTATATGCACATGAATTCTGTTGACAAGAATGATAATGGTGACTATCTAATTTCCGCGCGACACACCAGCACGATTTATTTGGTCTCCGGCAAGGATGGACACATCATGTGGCGTCTTGGTGGAAAGAGAAACAATTTCAAGAAGAATTTTGACTTTTACGGCCAGCACAATGCTCGATTTGTTTCTGTCAACTCGACCCATATGACAATTTCTCTCTTCAATAACGGGGCAATTGATACGGACGTGCGCGAGGCTGTCTCGTCCGCTATGTATGTTCAACTTGACCTGCACAAGATAGAAGCGACGGTTTTGCAGCGTTTTGTGCGTCCAGACGGGGGTATTAGTGATCGTCGAGGAAACATGCAAACCCTTTCCAATGGAAATGCACTAATGGGATGGTCTTGGGATGGTTATATGACCGAATTTTCTCCTGATGGAAGACTTCTATTGGAGGCCCGATTTGCCTCCGATAGACACGATTCATATCGCTCATATAAATTTCCCTGGATTGGCCGCCCCGCCTATCCACCAACACTTCTGTCTGAAACTTACGGTGTCAATGGCTCTGAGCTTTCAACTGTCTTCCATGTGAGCTGGAATGGCGCTACCGATATTGAGCACTGGCGATTTTATGCTCGGAATAGCTCGACGAGTGCAAAATACGTGATTGGCAGTGTTCCAAAGAAGGGATTTGAGACAGCTTTCATTGCTCCAGGGTATATGGATTGGGTATCGGTCGAGGCACTAGATGCGAATCGAGTGGTTTTGGGAGCATCTCCCGACTCCCGAACTACCCCTCCGGAGTACTGGGCTGCAACAGCGCCATTACCTCAACCGGATAATCCCGAGGCACCCTCTGAAAAGAAGGCGACGGACCTACCACAGATTCCTAACCAGGCTGGGGAATCTGTTCTTTATTTCTTGGCGGGATTTTTCACCAGTGCTATATTCGGAACTGTGATGCTATATCGAAGATTCCTTGCGCGACTCATCGTCATGTCCTTTTCAAAAGTGATCCCGCCAGGCTATGTACAAGTATGGACAGAGGATCTTGAGGACCCTGAGAGCCGAGACGACGAGTCGAGACCTTGGAAAGGAAAAGAGTAGACGCTGTTGATTCTCTCTCTTTTTTCTTTTTCATCTGTATCTATAATTTAACTCTGCATAAACGATAATGGTGTTCTTTCTTTTCTAAACAGGGGGGGGGGATTTTTCAGTGACTCTTCAAAGCCACAAACCATTTTTCGGAGAAGATTTCATCTCTTTCATTTATTATAATTCATCATATTTGAGTCCAAAAATAGACGATATCTGATTATGACCTACCTTAGCAGCTCCCGTCTCTCGCTTTATCAGTCAACGTTCTCGAGATACGGAATGTATTCACCTAACGATGAATATTCAGCTCTTCAATGTCCGGATTTTTGGAGAGATTGAGTTTTGGGCAGGGGAAATCAATAATGTATTATGACAATACTTATCTTGACCTGTTTCCTTATTGCTGTTGGTGGAGGAACATATCATCATGCATCTGGATTTGGGTATTGGAACAGTCCAGGTGCATTCGCAGAATACCTTTTGACCGGCCCCAAAGGTCGTTTTCTGGGGTGATGGGCGTGTATGTGTCAAGCTTGTTTGGCATTCACTGGGACTGAAGTTGTCGGTATGACACTTGGAGAGATGCCCGACCCTCCCAAAAATTGTCCCTTGTGCTGTCAAGCAGACATTTTGGAGAATGCTTACATTCTACATCCTTGGTATCCTTGTCCTTGGAATGGCCATTCCTTACGACAGTAGCGATCTTCTCAGTGCAATCACGAGTTCAAATAACGCTGGTATGTTGGCCTCCATTATTGACCAAAAGCTGCTTTTGCTAATCTAGACCAGATACAAGCCCATTCGTCGTTGCTATCAAGGATGCTGTTATTAAGGTTTTGCCCGATTTTGCGAACGCGTCTCTTTTGGTTTTTACCTTGAGCGCAGCAAGTTAAGGTGTATGTACATTGGCTCTTCTAAGCCCATACTAGGATAATACTGAGACAAACCAAGACATTTGCTGTGCATCTCGATCACTTTACGGACTTGCTCGCGACCGCCAAGCCCCCACTATATTTTCCAGAACAGTTGGAAAGGGGATCCGATATTTGAGATCTCCATGTCAGCTGCCTTCATTGCACTTGGGTTCATGAACGCAAGCAAGTCATCCTCTTCAGTCTTCGATGACCTTGTTTCATTGGCCACAGTCTTCGCCGGCTTAAACTGGCTGGCAATCTTGGTATCTCATATCGGCTTTTATCGAGGACTTGCTCGACAGAACGTTGAAGTATCCGAGCTTCCATATGTTGGATTTATGCAGCTATATGCAAGCTACTATGCTCTTGCTGTTACGGCAACTGTCCTTTTTTTCAACGGTCATTTCTCCACCCCAGCAAATTAAGATTGTCTAGTAACGAAGACTCAGGGTTCAACGCATTCAATCCTCACTTTAAGATAGACGTTTTTATTCTGAGTTATCTCAGGTTACTTGTATTTATTGTTAACATTTTTGGGTGGAGGTTTTGGAAAAAGACAAAGCGCGTGCGAGGTTCCACAATGGACTTGGTTACGGGTCGTAGGGAAAATCAGCTGGACTCGGACTTTAAAAACAACTAGAAGAGGGAATAGTGCACACTTGATATCAAGCTCAATCTTTTCTACCTTATGATTTGGATGTATAGGTAGTAACACCGGAAGTGTAGTAACCAACCTTATAGTTACTAGTCATCCTCCGGTGTCGGCCCGCGCACCTGCCGATCCCCCGTCTTCCCCCGCTTCTTCCATTGCAATTCGGTCTGCTTCCCCAGACTCTTTCATGCATCATGGGCCGCCCCAAAGTGCTCCCTGCGAACCGCTTGCGCGCCAATACTGCATGCACTGCCTGTCGCGCTTCCAAGAAGCGATGCAGCGGCAGCTTTCCCTGCTCTAATTGCATCCATAAGGGTCGCGCCCGATCCTGTATTCCATTCAAGTCCATACCCGACTCACCTGTCCGCACACGACCGTCGGCTGGCTCAAATCTTGATAGAAATGTGAACCTGAACTGGGAAAATTTAACGGCAGAGCCCCAGTCTCCTCTCATATCGCCCCATAATGATTTTGCAGACCCGCAACAGGAACACGCCCTTGAGGTCGGGCCACGGTCGCCCGAGGCAACGCATCGGACGCACGCTCGTATGCTACTCAATTTGCAAGGGGAGAGAGGTATAGTTCTGACCTATAGAAAAAAGAACGAGAAAGTTCTTTCAGTATCTAATTTCATGTTGCAGTTTATGTTGGAAAAGCCGCTTCTATCTCTTTTCTCCAGCTTCTACGGGACACCGTCACACAACATATTGGGCCCTCACAGTTCTCGCACAATCTCAGAAGCGAGGATATGCTCGAGGTTAAGGCCCATCATGATCCCTCGAATTTTGATGAGGGAAGCTGTAGCTTGGATGACAAGCGCCGGTACATTCAAGTTTTCTATGCTGTGGTATGAGATTCGACCCGACAATGCAGACGGCTGATAGTCCCCTATACGAATTAACACATGAGACAGACCAACGGATTCATCTACCTAGGCTGTAACACTGAGGCTCTTTTGGCAGATACGTCAGACCCCCAGACGGATCGAGAGAAAACTCGAGCAGCGATTCGAGATTTGATGATCGCCATTGGGGCTCAGTCATGTCCTAATGAGCCCGAGACGGTCCAACTCGAGCGCTTCTTCTTTACCCGTGGGCAAAGTAGGACGTTCGCTAATCTACTCGAAGACCCCAGTATAGACCTGGTACGGGCTTTCCTGCTCATGTCATTCTATATGTTTGGGGCGTGTCGTCGGAATGCAGCCTTTATGTACTTGGGGGTAGCGGCGCGGTCGGCAGTGGCACTTGGACTCCACACAGACTCGTCAGGGGCTTTGAGTGTTAGCGAAAAGGACGAAAGGTAGGAATTTTAAGAGAATCTGATTGAAAATGAAAAGTATTGACTTCAGATAGATCAAGAATCTGGATGAGTCTCTGCGTGCTCGATCTCCTGGCGAGTTCGATTCTCGGCCGACCCGCAGCCACAGCGGCTCTCCTACCAGAGAATCGGAGCGAACTTTGTTGGGTACCACGAGCAACTGCCGAGACTGGATTGGTAGCTTCGTACCAGTTATCCCTCATCTTAGAGGAAATCATCAGCAGATTGTATAGCGAGAAAGCCGCCTCAACTGACACTGCTGATGTTCTCTTGGAAAAGCTGAATCGCTGGAGTGAACAGCTACCAAACTCGCTTCGCACGCCGTCCGAGACTGAGGATTCTGGTGTGGCACAGGAGCGCATAATTGGAAATATGCATGTGGCTTGCTTTTACCATTTTGCTGTAATCCTCGTTACTCGTCCATTTCTGATATCTACTTTGAACGCCCGGCTGGCCCGGATTCATAAAAGTCTCTCAACAAATAGAACAGGGACAGATACGCCAGAGGACCCAGCACATTCGCGCTTAGCGGTTGCATGTATTGACTCGGCTGTTTATATGCTACAGACCTGCCTAGAAGTATTTCAGTCGGGACTACTCCATCGGAACATGGGTATTCTCAAGTACGTGCGCGCTTATAATCTTGGAGGGAATATCGACTGACCAAGAATAGGGCATTTGTATTTGCGGCAGCACTAGTTCTTGGATTTTCTATGTTCTGTCACGGCGATGTCGACAGTGAAATTGATAATGCATTTGCAGGCGCTATATCTGTTCTCCGGATGCTTGCTCAGCAATCCGCCCAGGCGGCCCACTATCTCGAGATTCTGACACTGTTAGAGGTAGTTGTGACACAACAGCGGCAGAGGCAAGCCGCCCAAGCGCGGCAGCGGCGCAGTCGATACGTTAATCGGATTTTCAGTTTACATGAGAGCCCATCCACACCCCGGATGCAGAGCAATGATGATAGCCGAACCGACACGATTCCGCTGGACACAGGCGGCCCATTTTACCCATGGGTTCCGCAGGGGGATGGGCCAGTGACTCCACCCGTGATGGATGGAGCGTTCCTGGATTGGGAGGGAATGGAGCTGCCACTGTGGGATAGCTTCCCATTTACAGAGCCGGGGTCATCCGTTTTATAATATGAATACACATGCATTTACAACTTAACTATGCATCTTTTAAACACTACTCTTTTAAGTATACTTGTAATAAGTTAGAAAGTGCATAGTATCACTCATAGGCCCTCTCTTGCTTATCTCTCTATATTCGTCAGCATTCACATGGGATACCCGGGCCTCAAATCACCACTCATTCCGATCGGAAGTTATCAGTAGCAAAAATCCACCCAATAGCCATCCATGGATGATAACATTTGAATACCCCACACGAGACAGTAACATCGCCATCCGAGGCTCCAACCGGCGATAAGCGGTGCGCGGCCCGCCTACTCTGATCCACCAGGTGCTTCTTCCGATAAACCCATGGACCACCATGTGGCAAGATAAATGTCACACAGGCACCCCGAATCGAGAATATTGAAACCGTCTCATCCATGAATAGCTTCTCAGCTCGCAAAAAATACACAGCAATTATGAATCCAAGCTGGAAACATCTCAGTGTTGGAGTGGTGGGCGGAGGTATTGGCGGTATGTCAGTGGCGATCGCCCTCCGCCGCGCCGGTCATGAGGTAACCATCTATGAACGCTCTGATTTTGCCGGCGAAGTTGGCGCATCTGTTTCATGTGCTGCGAACGGTACTAGGTGGCTTCATGAGTGGGGTGTCGATATTGCCAAGGGTGACCCAGTTGTCTTGAAGAAGCTTATTAACCGAGACTGGAAGACTGGCGAGCCGGTTAGCGTGTATAGTCTTGATGACTATGAGGAGCGTTGGGGATATGTGTACAACATGTTTCACCGACAATATATGCACTCTATGTTGAAGGATTCCGCTCTCGGAGAGGAGGGAGAAGGCATACCAGCCAAATTATTGGTGAACCACAAGGTGAGATTGATTTAGATCGGACATCGGAAAGACATCTATACTGATATCATACAGTGTCACGGCATCGATCTCAAATCCAACAAAATCACCTTTGAAAACGGCAAAATAGTGCAACACGATCTGATAATCGGTGCCGATGGCATCGGCTCCGCTGTCCGTGGAATTTTGGGAATTCGTCCTGAGAAACGTCCATCGGACTCTAGCTGCCTCCACGCAAACGTCGACGCGGATGAGGCCGCGAAACTCGGATTGGTAAACTATTCTCAAGACAGTGCTCTAGAATACTGGGGTGGACAAGAAGGGAAATGGGACAAGATCGTCCTGTCGCCTTGCAACGGCGGAAAACTCCTCTCATACTACTGTTTCTTTCCCCGCGACCAGGGCGACTTTACAACACAAGCCTGGGGTAGCGAGTCCCTACCAGTTGAAGATCTTCTCAAGCCATATCCTCAGCTCGATCGCCAGGTTCTTGAGCATCTCAAGATTGGCAAGGAAATTCAGCCATGGAGATTGTGGGTGCATGATCCGTACCCATATATTCACCAGGGAAATGTCTGTCTCCTGGGTGATGCGGGACATCCCATGATGCCGCACCAGAGTCAAGGGGCGTGTATGGCCATCGAGGACGCAGCGGCGCTGGGAATTTTGTTCAACAAGAAATATTTCAACGGAGATGTTGCACAGGCCCTTGCCGCGTACGAAGAGGTTCGTTTGCCTCGCGTTACACGGGTACAGTCTGCAGCTGCCAAGGCGGCGTATAATATTAACGAGAGAATTGGTGAGTGGCCAGAAAGCCGATGATGTTGTGTAACCCTTGGCATATACGCTAACGTGTTTTTTGCTAGGATTCTCGGTGAACAAAGATACCCCCACTTATAAGGTTGAGGACCCGAAGAAGGTCCTCACTATTGAAGAAATGAATGCGTGAGTTACTGAATCTGTGCCTCTAAGCTCGGTTTTTCTCTGACAATTTGGATTAGATATGATATGTACCGGGATATCGAGGAGAAACTTGCTGCTAAGCGCGGGGGGCTGTATACAGGAAAGTTCATCTGTGGATTGCCTGTTGGGCTGGAATTACCCACTGGAATCACAATAGGGGCTCACTAAGTCTATCAGAGACTCGGAGGTGTTGAATTTATGATCAAAGTTATACTCAATGTAATCAACCATTATTAGTTAAGTATTCCAACAGAAGTATGGAAATCGCCTCCCTATATGTTCATTGTACGGACCACCTCGATTTTGCTGGACAATATTGCCAAATTCAATATTACTTATTTCATAAATCACAATTGAAACCCGGGACCTTATTTCTAGCATATCGCCCCCTGTACCCATTGAGTTAGAATAGACGACATGGTAGATAGAAGTAGACGACAAACACAACCCACACGAAGGAAGAAATGAATTTCATAACGTCCTTAGATTACCACCAGATTGCGGAAGTAAATGGCGGTGCTGTTTAGATCGATAGAGAGCTTCGCAAGTGCGTAGCAGGCTGGCCCTCCCACTGGGCTTCCGTGGACGCCACGGAGTGTGAAAATTGCAGAAAGAAGGAAGAAGAACTTCATGGTGAATTCCTAGAGCTAGATACTAGTACCTAGTACTAAAACTGATCGGACTCCAGGGCTTTTATTGTACAAGATTCGACTGCCCCGGTGTGCCAGTGATAACCTTGGAAATACTAGTAGCATCCCTCACAGCGTTTACGAATGAAGCTTGAAACGCTACCTAGGTTGATACTAGAAGGTATTATTCTTAAGCTGAAGCTCTGAAATAAAAGTACTGAGTTTTGACTGGCTCACTATACCCCGAGGTTCTCAGCCTGAGGTTTTATCCCAATAGCAACGCACCAATGTGTAAATTAATTATGGGTCAAAAAGCATTTACCGACACCCTTTTATCCCACCTCGATACTCTATAGCTATGTTCCGAGAGTTTGGATTACATTCCGATGTTATCATAATACAACCCAGAATTCTTGAGTTGCATACTGTTGAACCACCTGAAACTTTGGAGTATCATCCTTGCTGCTCGACTCCACTTGTAACTATTGCTCGCAAATATTGAAATTGACAAGGCGTGATCGCAAGCTAGAAATAAAGCGGGCCAACCACAGTGATACAATGTCTATTTTAGTATTATCTTTCTCTCTTTCTTTTAGCTTTCGTGCATTCGCCAGTAGTATCACATCTTTGTGCGCATTCGCCCCGAGCTAATACTACAGGGTACAAAAGAACTTAAAGAGCAAGGTTTAATTTTAAACACATCATGATAATCTTGGACTGTATTTCACGAGTAGGTATTTCGGGGTTAAAACTGACTCTACTGATTTTAGATGTTGTGAGTATCACTCTGATATAAATGCCAGACTCGTAATAGTAGCGATGTCCTTTTTCACTGGTAAACTATCGATTACCGGGTGGCGACACCAAGAATTTTAAGCTTGGCCTCATTGTCGGAAATCTTGCCGATAGTACCTAGGTAGGCAACGCCCATAATGCCCCCGCCTTACCAAGCTCATCATTGACAGAAAAAAGTTCAAACGGTCAATACATGATAGACTGTCAATGCATGATAGGTTGGCGTTGGAAAGTGCCATCTGGGCATGTTCCAATGAGTAAAAGGGGTGGTTTTTCTATCTTTCTAACAACACTCGATTAGACAAGGAGATACTGGGAAAATCATTTGTAGAATCCGGTAAATTTGTTCTTCAATGGAACTTGTTTTTCGAAAATTCATTCCCAGATAGCAGGGAAATTCAAATTGGTAAAACATGAAAGAAAAAAGAGATATTGCTTTGTGCGGGCTATTGGCCTCTGATCGAGACAAGTGCATCAAAATTCCGAATTGGCATGACAAAAATTTTGCACGCAGGCTACTGGTATCAATGATACAGAGTGTTGCATGCTGCTTGCCCAGCCTCAAGGCACAGACCTTGCTCGAAAATGCGATGCGGAAAGATGAGTACTATGTAGAAGTGCTGAGCCAACGCTGTAAGGTCGATTCTGTTGAAAGCTTCGAACTAATCGCAACTACTACAGCGTATCGCTTGACATTACCTTACAAGTATACCCTCTCATACTAGCATGAACCAAATGCCTCCGAGTCCTGGCCCGCAATTGACAAACAAATCCAATTATATCCCATGCAATCGGAATGGTAATGCAAGTCTTCAGGTTAGAAAGGAAGCGGATGCCGATCATGCCCATCGATTATTCTAGAATTCGAATTGAAACATGTATGAGCACCGTTCTAGTTCAATTCTACTAGACCTTTGGTGGGATGCGCATTCTGCCTCGGTGGTAAATAACCCGAGCGGCCCCAACTAACCCGATCGCATTTGGTGTTGCCCCGCATCGCACCGCAAGCCTGACCAAGCAACACCAAAATCCAAGATAGCTAGCTGTAGATTTATTTCGGCATTTCCGCCGAACGCATCTCGTATAATGCTATCCCGAAGAGCGCGACGCGTCTGCCCCGTTCCTCCACAACCCGACCATGGATGCTTGGCCGAAGGCTGTGTATAGTTACATTCTAGATACATTGATCAAAAGTACGCAGGTCAAGTCAATACAGTACAGTTACTGTCCAATTGTGGTATTCCAATTTTGGTTATGTACAAACAAACAAGTATTCATCCTTCGTCAGATATTTGGTTATTTTTTCCTTATATTTTTTTTTCACTGTCCCTTAAGCGAACAGAGCGTCGCCCAGGCGGTAGTGAACGGTCTTGACCTGGGTGTAGTTCTCCAGGGCGTAGGAGCCGAGCTCGCGGCCCAGACCGGACTCCTTGAAGCCACCGAAGGGAGCCTGGTAGGAGATCATGTTGTAGCTGTTGATCCAGACGGTACTATCGAGCTATTAGTATTTGGTTTAATGTTGACCAGGGAGAGAAAAGAAAGCTTACCCAGCCTTGAGGGCGTTGGAGACACGGATGGCGGTGTTGACGTTCTTGGTGTGAACGGCAGCGGCAAGACCGTAGCTGGTGTTGTTACCGATCTTGATGGCCTCAGCCTCGTCCTTGAACTTCTGGACGGCAATGACGGGACCGAAGATCTCCTCCTGGGCGATCTTCATGTCAGGAGTAACGTCAGTGAAGACGGTGGGCTGGATGAAGTAGCCCTCAGTGCC